GAGGTGGGAGGATCACCTGAGCCCAGGAGATCAAGGCTGCAGTGAGCTGTGATTGTGACACTGGACTCCAGTCTGGGTGAGAGTCAGAGCCTGTCTCAGAAAAAAAAAAGATATATGTAATGTACCTAGTACATAGAGCCTGGCAAATGGTAGGTGCTGTTAACAATGTTTTAATAATTATCATAATTGTTACTATTTATTAGCAATAGCACGATTATGTGGCTTCTCAAAGATTTGTCCCTTTATTGTCGTGCAAGATAGATTTTTTCTTTAGTAATAAAATAAAGAGTAAAACTTACTTTTAATATAACCTCCCCACATTTTCAGTACGGTAGTTTTATTTCTATTAAGTTCTATATCTGTATGCTGTATTTTTATTGTTTTTATTAATATTGAATGAGTTCAACTTTTTAAAACTTACGATACATTTTCCATAGTATATTTTTATAATTATTTCTAGGATTTGGTGCTCTTTCTACTGAACTTGGGTCATGTGCACATATGGTAGCTCTTTTAAGCACATTTACTTTTCACGGTGCTTTCTTGTGATGTGTAAAGATGTTGGCTACATCTTGTAGTTGTAGAAATGCTTTTGCATACTTACACAGTTTGTACTTCTTTGGATAATTTGTATGTACACCATCAGCAGGATGGGATGATCCTGTATCTTCATTTATTATAAGGAATAACTATAAACCAGATAGTTTGTGACTTTCTCCACATACTTGTATTAGAATCTAAGAGTCAGGCCTTCGAATACTTAACTCTGTGCTTTCTGGCTCAAAGGGTTAAATGTTAAAAACAAATTAGTGATTGTGTTTGGCTTATTGATTTTTAAAATAGCTCTCCTAGCTCAGGGAACTTTGTATTTTTCTTTTATTCCAGTAGAAATTAGCATCCTGGCATCTATTATTTTTACTGCCCTGACCTTAACTAGACATGGAACATTTTAATTCATTATCTTCCTTATAATTGCCACTAGTCTTTACTATTACCTAGAAAAGTACTGAGAATTTGTAAGCACTTCAAGGTGTTTTGAGTCTGGTTGAAAGGGTGCAACCATTATAATTTTTCTTCATAACAATTATTAATTACAAAGAGAAAATTATTCCTATTTTTTAAATGTCAGATTTTGTTAGTTGTGTGATATTTAATTGGTTATTTTTGTGCTAATGCATATATAACTCATAAGGATTGCTCTGTTTTCTTCAGTTGTTCTCCAAATTCTAGTAGCTGGTAGCTCTGACAACATATTAGTATCAATTTCAAACTGAAATTGTATTAAGGATGTTTCATATTCTGCACCCATTTTTTGGCCTAGTTCCTGTTTTATACTTCAGTATAAAACAACGTAAATTATAAATTGGGGACTTTGTCCCTAAGCCTTCTAAATTCTAATTTAGATAGCATTTCTCTGGACTAATACAGGTCTATTAAACAAGCTGCTAAATTTTTACTGTGACCGTGAAATTCTGCTAAGGGTGAAAAGTGTGCTCTAAATAATAAAATCCTTTTTTAAAATAATTACATATCAAATAGAGGGAATTCCTATTTAAAGCCAAATCTAGCTGCCAAGTAGATTAAAAAATATGAAATAAAGTATGTTTACTTTAATAAACAACTTGTATTCCCTGCTTTGTTGTGTGTGTATGGCATATTTTCTAGTACATACAATTTCTAAATAAATTATGTTATTGAATAATCCACTTTGGCAATTTATAGTTTATTTATATAGTAGTGTATTAGTTTTCTATTGCTGCATAAAAATTACCACAAACATAGAGGCTTAAAAAACAACACCCGTTATCAGCTCACAGTGGGCCCATCTGGGTTGCCGTTTAGGGTTCTGTGAGGCCAAAGTCAAAGGTGTCAGCCAGACTGGGCCGTTTTCTCAAGACTTTGGGAAATAATTTACTTCAAAGCTCATTCCAGTTGTTGACACACCTTAGTTTGTTGAAGCTGTAGGTCTGAGGTCCTGTTTTTTGGCTGGTTGTCAGTAAAGGCCACTGTGTTCCAAGAGGCTACTCATAATCCTCCTTATATGGCCCCTCTGTCTTCAAAGCCATCAATAGTATGTCAAGTCCTTCTCACGCTTTAAATCTCTCTGACTTGGCACCATGCTCCCACCAGAGAAAAAGTCTCAGCTTTTATAGGGCTCACTTGATTGAATCAGACTCACCTGAATCTTAGATTGTATCTTAAGATCATCTGGCTTGGAGCTTAGTTAACAAATGCAAAATCCAGCAGGGCATGGTAGTTCACACCTGAAATTCCAGCACTTTGGGAGGCCAAGGCGGGCCGCTCACTTAAGGTCAGGAGTTTGATACTAGCCTCACCAACACAGTGAAACCCTTGTCTCTACTAAAAATACAAAAATTAGTGGGGCATGGTGGCGGGGGCCTGTAATCTGAGCTACTTGGGAGGCTGAGGCGGGAGAATCGCTTGAAACTGGGAGGCGGAGGTTGCAGTGAGCCAATATCATGCCACTGCACTGCAGCCTGGGCAACAGAGTGAGACTTAGTCTCAAAACAAAACGAAACAAAAAAAAGAGCAAAATCCTTTCTCAGCAGTACCTTGATTTGTGTTTGATTAAATAACCAGTGGGTGGGAATCTTTTGGGCCATCTTTAGAATTCTGTCTACCTCAGGTAGAATTTAATCCACAATAAAGTTTTTTTAAAGGTATTAATTGCACTGGACTAACATTCTGAAGATCTGGGGTTCCGTTTGACTTTAGTAACTGATTCTGGACTGTGAGGTCTTTAAGACCAGGAACTATGTCTTATTCATCTTCATAGCCCTAGTGCCTAGCATGATGTCTGGGGTACAGCAGGAACCTAAAACATGTTTATTAAATGAAGTCAAATTAAGATAATTTTACTTCTCTGTATCTTCCTTTATCTTTTCCTCATTTTCATCAAAGCCTCCTTGTAGATTAAAAGTGAGATAGTTAATACATGTGTGAGTCTATGAATATTCTCAAGCATTACAGCATCCCCATTTTATAGATGTTTTTAAAATTAGCATTTGCTAGATTAAGTAATTTATCTTAATCTCATTGCTAATAAGCAGAGGCAGCACATTAGTTTTCTGATATGGTCAGTTCCTAACCTTTAATAATCAATTACATTTATAACACTTTAGAGTTTTCGAAGCCCCTTTATTAGCTACGCTTTCATTGAATCCTTTCAGGAATCCTGTGAATTAGTGCAAACAGTATGAACTTTCAGACAGGTAAAAGTAAACCGAAGTAATTTGACCATAGTTACCCACTAATAAGAAGCAAATTCAAAAATTTAAGTCCAGCTCTTTTGCATATGAGTACAGGATTTACATTGCCAGTTAATGACCCCTTTCATTTTAGAATTTTTAATAGAAGATTTTATACTAGTGATACTTAAAATTACAAGAAATTAAAGCAGAGGACTGGGAGTAAGTCACAAATTATTTTCCCTTCTGCTTCCTCAGAACTCATTTAGTTATGTGCATTTTCATAGTTATTCACCTGTTGCTTTTCTCCCACTTATTTTTTTTCCTGTAAGCCCTAGAGATGGTGGCATCTACCACCTAATCTAGATGGTAAGCATAACTTATTTTACTTACATTGTTAGATGTGAGTTACGGGTAATTAGAAATCCTCTTGAACAAATTAGAGAGTAGGTAAAAACAAGGCAATACCAACATGCAGAAGCCCTCTTAGGCAGCACTGCCATATGCATGTGTGTACACGCATACTATTTTCTTCTATATAAGGAACAAAATTATTTTTCCTTTATTTTTTCTATTTTCCTTTTGTTGTTATTCTGTAGTTTGTGTAATCTAGGGTTAAAATCCCAAGAGTACAGTGCTTTTTAATTTTGAAGGACTTTTGGCTCAAAATGGGAACAGGACATACTGATATGTAGACTCTTGTTTCTGTTGACTCTACAAGGAAGGCCTTTTTGAAATAAAATGATGGGTTTTTGTTGTTGTTATTGTTTTTAATGTAAAGCATACTAGTCTGGATATTAAGGATTTTGTATCTGTTTTATGTTTGGTACCAGACTGGCTCCCTCATGTTAAGAAGTAAAAATGGTAGATACTTGGACCATGTACTATTTGGTGTTGGGTTTGGGGAGGAAAATTGGAAGAAAGAATGAAAGGAAGGAAGGACGAAAGGACAGAAGGAAGGAAGGATGGAAGGAAGGAAGGACACAAGGAAGGAAGGACAGACAGACAGAAGGAAGGAATGTAGGAAGGAATGTTTAAAACCTATCTGGCTGTGGTTTGTTTAAAACCTATGTGGCTCTGGCTCACAGGTGCTTCAGCTGGTTTCCCAAACCAAAGCTTGTATCACAAACATGAATTAGTTTGCCTTACAGCGTTCTCCAATCATGTGACTGATGGTCGGCCTATCAGTCATGCTGGAAGTCTGCCCTTTTTTCTTCCTTTCTGCTTCATTGACTCACCTCAGACCTGATGAATAGGTTTCCATCACTAATAAACTGGTGGTGTACTTCATACAGTGTTGAAACACCTCAGTAGATTTGTGATTGGACTCTGACTCACTGTGCATTTGAAACATTCTTATTAAGTTTACAACTTTTCAGAGTGTATCTACCTTAAACTGCTGGTTTTTGTGTGTGTTGTTTTTCCTTAACCTTGGCTAAACTATAATATATGGTAAAATAATGAAGTATATTTTTTTTATTTCACTACTAAAAAGTCACCATATAAGTTCCATTGTACTCAACACAGAAATTGTGGCCATTTGCTGATTTAAAGAAAAATGCCTAAGAAAGAAAAATAATAATAAAAATGCCAACCTACCAGGATTTTAAAGAATCTTCTGCAAGTGTGCTTCTGGGAGGAATCAGTACTCTTTTACTGAAACCAACTTTGATTTCCTCACTTTTCATACTTTATGCACAGTTAGTTTTTCTGTGGTTTAGGAGTATGAATTAAGAAGCAAATTTTCTGTTTCAGTATGAAATTTAATACAAATCTTTCTTGTATATTCAGCGGCCATTGCAGTCATTTGGACAGACAGGAAAAAGGTCTAAGGTATAGTAAATATTTTGGTGTGCTGGCATGCCAAGGGCCTTCCGTCATGCTTGATAAATCCTTGTTTTCATATAGCACTACATTCAGTTTAGTTCTTTCATATTTTATGGGGGGCAGAAAGCTTATTTTGTTTTATTTGGGATTTTTGTCTTGCCTAGTCGCTTTTGTGCATTGCTTTTTTTATCTTGATGGTTCTTTATCTGTAGAGAAAATCGCTTTCTCACCATTCTTTGGGATATGAAATTGGAATTATTCCCATTCTTTCTATTGCTATAATTTTCAAAACTGCAATTGTTTGTTTTCCTTCTTAACAAAGGCTTTTAGTAGTGTTTAATGATATATTTAACTTGCACATTTCATCTACTGTTATACATGGCAGAAACTATGAAGAAACTTAGAAACTCTTTCTAGGGGGCTTTTGGATATGCCCTAGATTTCTGAAATGTAGTGTTAATTATAAATACTTCTCTTTAGTCAAGCTCAAAGTTAAAGCTAGTTCGGAGCCTTGCAGTGTGTGAAGAATCTCCACCACCACCTGCACCAGAGATATCACAGGAGAACCAGGTAAAAAAGCAAAACAAATGTTATTTCAAGACATGGTGGAACTGGAGAATTTTTATATATGATTTAAGTTGTGTTGTTATATTTGTTTTATTTTGACTAAATGAAACTGATTCAATAATACTTGGCACCCAAGATATACATGAAACGTTAGAAAACCTCTTTGCTTCAGTCTAAGGCTTAGAGCAATGATTTCTCTTCTGGAAAAACTTAGGAATCATGTAACTAATTAGGAATGTGGCTTTAAGAAAGTTATAAATTAATTTTTATAAAGTTAAAAAATGTTAAGGTAGCACTTCCAGTGAATATAATTGTGGTGAAATTTGCCCTTTTAATTTTATCTTTTAGAAATTTGTCAGATACTTAATGCTTGTATGTAAAGAGACTAGCCAAGACTTCTTCTTGACAGGTTATTTAATGTAACCTGAATACATGGTGAAACCAATTTTCATATTAGCTTGGCTCTTTAATAATAATCTAGTACTTCTGATTTCTCACATGTCTATTCTTGTAAAATTTAGAACACTGAGGTTTAGGCAAACCATTTAGTTTGTCCCTTACATTATTTTTAATGCTGTAACTACTTTTCTGTTAATCTCAGCCATGGGTTGATCTCTGTCTCATGTTACATCTATATATTTATGCATAGATATTTTTGGACCCTTTACCAATGTTTATCTTGTAATAACTTTGCCTACTGGCTTGTTCTACTTAATAAGAGTTTGAGCAACTGAAAATACTCCTTTATCCCAACAGACAGTTTGCAAGGAATTTGGGCAATTTTGTGGTTATTTAAGAAGCCATGACTGATCCATGACATGTACATCTGTTTTGTAAAGTAATTATCATTATGCATTTGGTGATTCAAACTAAAATTGTTGTACTTTCCCTTGATTTACATGATACCCTCAAAAGCCTTTTACAGATATTGAGGATAGTTGTCACATATTTAGAATATGTACTGTTTTTGAAAAGCACTACATTTTATTGCTTGAAAATGCAAGGAAAATGTTTTGAAATAGATTGTTGTCAATGAAATGTACTTTAAAATCTGTTTGCTTTGACATTTCTTTGCATCAGAAACACAAGGTTGAAAATTAATTTATGAATTTTTTTTTGTTTTTATTTATTTTTTTGTTTGTTTGTTTTTTTTGAGATGGAGTTTCACTCTTGTTGACCGGGCTGGAGTGCAATGGTGCGATCTCAGCTCACTGCAACCTCCGCCTCCCAGGTTCAAGTGATTCTCCTGCCTCAGCCTGCCGAATAGCTGGGATTATAGGCACCTACCACCACGTATTTTTAGTAGGGACGGGGTTTCACCATGTTGGCCAGGCTGGCTGCAAACTCCTGAGCTCAGGTGAGCCACCGTGCCCAGCCGATTTTTTTTTTTTTTTAATGTATCTACATAGGAGGTAGCTGTATGCATTTATTTGATAAAATAGATACATTTTAGCAATGAAATAGACTTTCTAGCAAAAAGCAGAAATACAGTCTAAATATTTACTAAATCCTTGCCTGGAGAACATTTTCAAATATTAACCTTTGGCTTTTGCATTACTGTAAGAAAACTGGACAGCTATACTATAGTCTGGAAAAAAAAAATCAAGGCCAGGCGCAGTGGCTCACGCCTGTAATCCCAGCACTTTGGGAGGCCGAGGCGGGTGGATCGCGAGGTCAAGAGATCGAGTCCATCCTGGCTAACACGGTGAAACCCTGTCTCTACTAAAAATACAAAAAATTAGCTGGGCGTGGTGGCGGGCGCCTGTAGTCCCAGCAACTTGGGAGGCCGAGGCAGGAAAATGGTGTGAACCTGGGAGGCAGAGTTTGCAGTGAGCCGAGATCATGCCATTGCACTCCAGCCTGGGCGACAGATAGAGACTCCGTCTCCAAAAAAAAAAAAAAAAATCGCTAAAATTATTTTTTGAAACACCACTTTTTAAAAGTTCTTTTGGCCAGGCACAGTGGCTCACGCCTGTAATCCCAGCACTTTGGGAAGCTGAGGTGGGTGGATCATTTAAGGCCAGGAGTTTGAGACCAGCCTGGCCAACATGGTGAAACCCCGTCTCTACTAAAAATACAAAAATTAGCCGGGCGTGGTGGCACAAGCCTGTAATCCCAGCTATTCAGGAGGCTGGGGCAGGAGAATAGCTTGAACCCAGGAGGCAGAAGTTCCAGGGAGCCGAGATTGCGCCATTGCCCTCCAGCCTGGGTGACAAGAGCGAAACTCTATCTCAAAAAAGGAAAAAAAAAAGATCTTTTGTACAAGTCAGAGTAAAGAATACACCTGCTTGGGATGGAGTAGTAGGTACTGTAATGTTTTTGAAAATTCATTTATTCGTTCTGTTGACCAAAAAACAGATGTTACACCATCTTAGCCTCATGACAGTCAAAAGAGATTGAGGAAAGAAGGGTCAGGCATTCATAAATCTGTTAATACAGAAAAAGTGTGTAATTTTTGAAAAATCAAAAGCTGTATCATGACCTTTGTTTTTTGTAGTGCATTTTACCTATTTGAAAAATCTTGAGTACCTGTTATGGTACTAAATTTGGCTAGTGAAAATTTATATGAGGAAAAAATAACAGGAATATATGTTGTGTATTGATAGATACATTATTGATCATAGATGATTTTTTGTGTTGGCAGTTCAAAAAGATGAGTTATGGCATGTGGGTAATGACTAAAGAAGCTATATCAAAACTCAGTTATTTCCCTTAATATATTCTTTCTCAGTTTCTCTTAAATCCAATAAGCTTTTTCTTTTTGGATAATTGCCTATGAATAAAATCTTCTGAATAAAAGATACTTCTTCTAGTAAGAAGTCTTTTTCCAAGCCTTGAGATAAATAAATTGCACCTGGGTGGAAATTGGAAAATAAATTATTTCTCATGAAAGGTACTAGTATCTAATCCTTGATGGTAGACACACTTTCCAACTAATTTGCTTGATTCAGAATGTGATTTTTGAGGAATTAATCTGGAATAAAACTCATTATTCAAAAAGTTGAGAGGCAATTAAGAGAGAGATGTCACTTGGTATCTGATGAGAGCTTGTGAGAGGGAAGTGACCTCAATAACAGATGTCATTGACAGAGTGAAGAGTAAAGGAATTGCAGCTTCCTATGGAGAGGTAGCTATTATTCCAGTTATTTATAGTCTGAATATTTTGTATATAAGGACTTCAGTGTTTAAAATATATCTTATTTGTATCGCTACTGAAAACTAGGCCAACTGAAGACAGGCCTCAGTACATTAAACTTACAAGATTTTAAAAATATAGTTCATTTTGATAAAATAGTTTAATATCTGTAATTAAAATGTATGGCTTTTTGAGGAGAGCTTAGAAATGAAATCTGCTAGTTACTGGAAGTACCTTTTAGTGAAGATCTAAGAGGGGGTAGTGTGAAATCTTTTCTCCCGGCCTGGCTTTCATTGGGTTCCTCTTGAGTAACCAGAATAGAAATTACAAGTCAGGAAAACTTCTAAATATTATACTTCTGAAAAATAGTTCTGAGATTCATTCCTAGATACCTGTTTTGCAGTTTTGAAAAGAGTAAAGAAAGTGGGTTGGAAAATGAATCACAGTAAGAAGAATTACTTCCTGGTTGATGAGTATAAGGAAGTTGCCAGTGTCTTTGGTAAACAAGACAGAGAGTGCATAAAGCAAGTGTTTGTCATCCTAGTGAAAACTGCCAATGTGCATCATTTACCCTATATTATGAACACAAATTTGAACTGGTATGATGAATTGAGAAGAAGAAAAGAGATTAAAATAGCAGATAGCAGTCCTATTGTGGTAAAAAATCTACGTGTCTGATTGATGGTTTTCATGACTGTAGAACAACAGTATAATTTAGTCTAAAAATAGGCTACCCCTTTATCTTTAGTAAAACTGGTGTAGAATTTATTATAGCTTTCTTTACAACTTTACCTAAGTAAACAGAGCTACATGATTTTTGCCTTTTCTCTCTGTGTGGATTAATTTCTGGTAATCCCTTTGGGTTCTGGAATTACATGTAATGGCATTGCTTTTAAAGTAAAATGTGAATTCTCCTTTCAGTCTTATAGAATGTGGTTACTTTACAATTAAACATTACATATCTATAAGGATACAATTTTGTTTGAAATCTTTCTAAACAACTGTGGTGATCGAAGGATTGACAGTGATATATAAATCTCAAAAAGGAAATAAAGTTGTGTGCCGTTGATTTCGGAAATTTTTGTACTTATATTTTTATATGGTAGGAGAATGAAGGGATGTGTGATGATAATGGATACTCAGAAACCTAATTTTTATTAATCATTGGCTTGACACTTATACATTCGTATTGTCATGATTGATGATAATTATGCTCTTGGTTGGCATCTTCCTTGCAAAAATAGGTTAAGAAGACCTGAAATCTCATCCTCCAGGGATTTTACAAGTTGATGCACTTAAACTATAATAGGAAACATTTATTTTCTCCATAATAATCTTGAGGGTTTGTTTTAATTGATATATTCAATTCAGAACATGAATTTTAACATTTTATATAAAGTTTTTGATAAAAGTGGTACAGTATTATTAAGTTGTTTTTTAGTTTAAAGAATCCAGTTGGGTAAAATAATCTTTTTTTCTCTCTGCAATTTTATGTCACTCAAAAAATATAAATGTGTGGTATTAAATGAATTATGTTGTATTTTCATTGAATAATTGACTTTGCCTTCCAACAGGAGAAAATTCAGCTCCAGTTAACACAATCATTTGAGAAAGAAGAGAAGCCTTCAAAAGATGAAGCAGAAAAAGAAAAGGCCAGTGATAAGTTGCCCAGAAAAACGTTATCAAGAGGTTTGCAGTTCTTTTGTTTTTTTACAAAAAAATAATTTTGCTATCAGTAATTCCATCCTTTACCCCTCAAATAATTATATATAGTATATTTTTATGTAAAATGACACAGAACAGACTGGAAGGATGATACAGTACTTACTCACCTGGGCAAAATGGTTTAACACAGTTCCATATATCAATAAGACGTTTCAGCCAAAAACTGTAACACGTAACAGACATTGAGGAAGGTAAATATCTTAATCTCTTACTGGTCCCTCACTCATAGTAAAATACTACAGTCATTATAATTTTTATATTGATTCCACTAAGAATACTATCACTCTTGAATTCCTTATGATACAAAGAGCTGATGTCATAGTATTGAGTATCCAGTAATATTCTTTTATAAGTTTGGAAGGTCTTCACTATTACCTAGCATTGCAGATCAATAGAAATGCTTTTTAAATTTAAAACCCCAGTTATGTTGACCAGTATTATAAATAGTATAAGGATATTACATTTAAGGAGAAGATAGCACGAATATTTGAAAGTATTTTGAAAGCAAGCCGGTAGTAACAGACGTCATAAGAATCAAATTCTTTCACAACTAAAATTTATATCTACCTCCATATTATTGCCTCCATTATATTCATATCTGAACTAAGCTGTCTTAATTTGCTACAAATGTAGTTAATTATGTAAATCATTTAAATTTTTCACCCATGGAGGCATTTTGAACATGAGATGGTGGTGAGTAAAAAAGGATCTTTAAAGAATTTAGAGGAAATTAAACAGACACATGTGAGAGGTTAATTTTTTTTAAAAATGTGCATGGATATGCAGTTATATAAACTCATGTCATGCACATTATATGGGAATAGAAAAATTGTGGTCACCGGAGTTCACTGTAACTTTTCCTACTTTGTCAAATTTTTTTCAATGTGGGGCATCTTGTTTTATTTAAGATATACATCATGTGTAAAAGGGAATGGGACTTGTTTTCAAACAACTTTATACTGGGTTTTTGTGTTGTTGTTTTTTAGATTCCAGTCAAGAATACACTGATTCAACTGGCATAGATCTACATGAATTTTTAGTAAATACATTAAAAAACAATCCCAGGTAAAAATTAAATTTATAAGGTTTCCATTGCTTCTAGAGTACCATAATTTTGCTATATATGTTTTCATTACTGAGTTAGAGTAATAGAATAAGATTGCAGATATTTGAAGTACACCAGAAACATTTTAGTTTTTTAGGGCGAAGGTGTTGTTGGTCTAGTATATGAAAATATATAAATATCTTTTTGCATTATGCATGTCACCATGATGTATGAATTTTGGGAAATACAGAATCACTAAGATATTTAGGCTCTTAATTGAGTTAGACATATACCATTAAGTCATGAGAAAAAAGAAAAATAGGTATCTCACCATAGTGCACTCAACCAAATAAGAACTTAGTGTATTCACTTATAATGAGTTTTTGAACTTTTTAAATGCAAAGTTTTTGTTCCTTCTTGCTGAGTTTATAAACCATCAACCCAAAGATTTTTGAGTTGTTTATTTGAGTCAATACTTTAATTGTGAAATCTTTCATTTTGTCAGATTACTAAATGAATAATTTTTAAATTTTTTGGCAACTCATAACCACTTTGAGACATTCTCCCTACAAAAATGGCTACTCACAAATTATCTGACCAACACTTTCATAGAGTGAAAGATGCCAAGGTGAAGAAATCTTCCTCTAGGTGTTAGCTTTCCAGAGTAGTAGGTATTTGACATACACTGAAATAAAAATGATGTCACTAGATATGGGCACATGGAAGATAAGAGAATTGTTTATCTCATACAGTCTTGCTTCAAGATAACTTGTTTTCATTCAGGAGGTATTGTTTTCAGTACTACCCTGATTTTCTGTTTTGTGTTTAATATCAACCCCAAAGAGGATTACCAAAATGAAAAGTGGTCTGTCTCTAATAGGAGCTGAAGGATTATGGGTAAGGATTTAGAGATAATATAGGCAACTCTGCTTGACTTTTTTTCCTCCAGTTCAAGTTTATTCCTCAGTAGTCCCAACAGAAAGATAAATTTATGAGTCTGTTGAACATCTCTAACCATGTGCCAAGCATTGTGCTAAGTAAACATCATAGATATGAAAAGGTTTTACATAACAGCTCTGACCCTACAGTATTCACTGTCTCTGTACTAGAAAAAGACACATGATAATTAAAATAAAACAAATACAAAAGAGGTTTACAGATGCTGTAATAGCCAGAAAAGGGCCCCAACCTCTGAAAGGATTTGGGAATGTGTCACTGAAAAGGTGGTGCCTAACCTGAATCTTGAATTAAGAGTGTTTTAAATTGGAGCTGTCCATACAGAGAAGCATGGGAAGGGCATTCCAGATAGAGAGACTAGAGGACTGCCGAGGCATAGTTATGTGAGAGGAAGTGTTGTATTCAAGGCAAGATAAGATTGTACCCTCTGACTCTCACAAGCATGTGGCAAGTTATTCCAGAAAGTGACGGTAAAGGTCAGGCATGGTGGCTCACACTTGTAATCCTAGCACCTTGGGAGGCTGAGGCAGGCGGATCATGAGGTCAGAAGATCAAGACCATCCTGGCTAACATGGTGAAACCCCGTCTCTACTAAAAAAAAATACAAAAAATTACCCGGGCGTGGTGGTGGGCACCTGTAGTCCCAGCTATGCAGGAGGCTGAGGCAGGAGAATGGTGTGAACCCGGGAGGCGGAGCTTGCAGTGAGCAGAGATGCGCCACTGCACTCCAGCCTGGGTGACAGGGCGAGACTCTGTCTCAAACAAAAAGAAGGTGACAGTAAAGGTACTGGTGAGGTATGAAGCATAGGTCATATCCAACTATCGTCAACATGGGATAATAACACCCTGGCAGTGAGGAAATGTGAGGGGACCTTTTGATTGTCCCAGTGAGTGCAGAGTGCTGCTGGGAAGCCAGGGATGCTAAAAATACCTACGAAACAGTGATAAACAATGAAAAATTATCTTGAAATGCTATTAGTGCATCAGTCAAGAAATACTGAGTATGACATGCCAAGTTAAGGAGTAGTTACAGGATTTTAAATAGGGCCATGCCATAATGAGATTTGTGTTTTGGAAAGATTACTTTGGTGTTTTAGAAAGATTATTTTGGCAGAAATAACTGTAAACAAAGACAGTGGCTAGGAGACCATAGAAAAGAATGGAGAGGAAAAGACACATTTGAAAGATGTTTAGGAAGTATCATGGCAGGACTTGATGATCATTTGTATATGGAAAGGCAATGGGGACAGTTGAGTAGAACAGAACGGCCAAGTACTAAAGATAGCAAAACCGGGGCACGGTGGCATGTGCTTGTAGTCCCAGCTACTCAGGAGGCTGAGGTGGGAGGATTACTGGAGTCCTGGAGGTTAAGGCTGCACTGAGCTATGATCTCACCAGTGCCCTCCAGGCTGGACCCCATCTCTAAAGAGAGAGAGAGAGAGAGAGAGAGAGCAGAGGAATCCTGAGAACATTTGTCCTGAAACTCAACCAAAAGGGAACAGTTACACAGAAAATAAAATAACAGAGGGGACTTGCGCAGTGATTCATGCGGGTAATCCCAGTACTTTGGGAGGCCAAGGACAATGGATCACCTGAGGTCAGGAGTTCAAGACCAGCCTGACTAACATGGTGAAACCCCGTCTCTACTAAAAATTCAAAAATTAGCTGGGCAATGCATGCCTGTAATCCTAGCTACTTGGGAGGCTGAAGCAGAACTGCTTGAATCTGGAAGGTGGAGGTTGCAGTGAGCTGAGATCACGCCATTGCACTCCAGCCTGGGCAATAAGAGCAAAACTCCATCTCAAAATAAATGAATTATTTAATTAAAATAAAATAACAGAGGGATATGAAAATAGAAGTATTGTACGGTTGTGAAATGTATGTATTTCGTCTTCCTCCCTGTTTCCTAGCTTACAACTAAAATGCCTGTAATCTCCAAAGAGCTATCTCTTTGTATGCTAATGTTGACTGATAGCTTCAAGATATCAGATTAGGCTGGTCACTGGAAAGACAAAGGCATGATTAGAGGGTTGGGACTTCAGCCCCTGCTCCCAACCTCCTGGATGAGGAGATTGGTGAAGGTCAGTCTCCTCAACAATCATGCGTACATAATGAAGACTTCATAAAAACCCAAAAGGACAGGTTCAGAGCGCTTCCAGATAGCTGAACACATGGAGGTTCCTGGAGGATGGCAGGCTCCAGGAAAGAATGCAAGCTCCGCCCCTTTTCCCCCATACTTCGTTGTATGCATCTCTTCATCTGTATCCTTTATAATAAACCAACAAATATAAGTGTTTCCCTGAGTTCTGTGATCCGCTCCAGCAAACTAGTTGAATCCAAAGCAGGGGTCATGGGAACCCCAACTTGAAGCCAGTAGTCAGAAGTTCCAGAGGTCTAGACTTGGAACTGGTGTCTGAAGTGGGGCAGTCTTGGTGACTGAGCCCCAAACTGTGGGATCTGACACTATCTCCAGGTATAGAGTGTCAGAATTGAATTGGAGGACACCCAGCTGTGTCCCCTACAGAATTGCTTGCTTGCTTGCTGGTGGAGAGAAATCGCCACGTATTTGGGGTCACAGAAGTCTTCTCTGTTGATAGTTGTTGTGTTGGTGTGAGAACAGAGGGAAAACATGATTAAAGAGGTTTTCCAAAACAAGTACCAAAAATAATTCATTAGATTCGGAAGTTAGAAATTGTTGGCTCTTTTAACATTTGGAATAGGATGGTGGGAACCAGAACTCAGTGGGTTGAGTAATAAGAGGGAAGGTAGGAATTCATAACTAGTATGAGTGAAACAAGATCCTAGACAGGCAGAATTTTTCTTCTCTCTCTAAACCAGTGGGAAAGACATCAGCAAGGAACAAAGATTATAAATCCGTTTTTATGTCTTCCAAATTATGTTTCGATTGTGTAGTTATTTTTCCTCTATAGATGCAAACGATTTTCAGTTATCCACATAGACATTTTTTAACTATACAGTTTAATGGTTTTTAGTACATTCAATACACAGATAGGAGCACTATCACCGCAGTTACAGAACTTTTTCATTGCCCCAAAAGAAACCCCACACATTGTAGCTATTCCTATGCTAATAATAATAGTAATACTGATATTGGATGATCCCAATCCTCATCTGTTTTCTGTTTCTGTATATTTCTCTGTTCTGGACATCTCATATGAATGAAATTATATAATACATGGTCATTCATGACTGGCTTTTATTCACTTAGCGTAGTGTTTTTAAGGTTCATCCATATTGTAGCATGTATTTTTTTTCTTCTGTGTATGCATTTTTATTTGAGCAAATATACAAGTGAATAATTCATTTAATGGCTAATGTATAAGTTACTATTAATGTCATTGTGGTTTTAGGAAGTTGAAGCTAATATTAAATTTTGGGAGAAATAAGGTTTGCTTAATAAATGATTCAATATTCTCTCTCAGTGAAGCATACAGCTAATTGCCAGCTATACCTGGTATACAATTAGTTAGAAGTAAGGCAGATTCCCACTGAAGCTTTCAAGGTTGAATATTGCCTAGAGAATTCTACTAGATGTTAAGTCAACTTTTCCTTTTTGGATCACTTTAATTTGAAATTTTTTTTTCACATCATTAAATCTTCATTATCTTGTTCATAGCCCAATAAACTAAATTTCAGGGGTTAAATAATAAGTTATCTGGAATTTCTGGGTGTCTTCAATATTTTCAGAGGCTACCCTATTAAATACAGTCATTAATGAATTAGAACCTAGGAACCTGAAGGTATTATTGATAAAGATTACACTCACTGACATAATTTTGTACATATTTTTGTGTTGCTTTTAGCCATATTGTATAAATTTTATATGGAGAAATATGGATGGTACAGATAACTATATTATGTAACTAACAGGAAAACGATTCCGTGGATTAATCCTGAAAATGGATATTTTTTAAGTAATTTGTTTTGCTCTAGGGAACATCATGTATTTGCTCTCTGAAATATCTTCTAAAAGTCATTTTTATTGGAGGTAATATTTAAGTCATTTTATTTCTTATCTGTTGCAGACATTTGACCAAGAGTATGTGAAACATTGGATGGAGGGTGGTCAAACAGAAGCATTACTCTTTTCTGCTTTTTTTTTATTTGCCACTGGTATAACAACTGTTCCCTCTTTCTCTAAAATTACTTCTGGAATAATGACTAGAACACCAATAACTAAAGGACTGTTAGCCCTTCATTTTAACTTTTAGTAGTAGTTTATTAGCTTGTTTTTATTACTTCTGTAATAAATAACAGCATGTATCAGTTCATTTTAAAGGTTACACGATAGAAGTTTTAGTTTGTGCCTACTTTTAGATGGTTTTGGCTCACCTGCTAAAACATCAGTATACCTTAAGAAAAGTAATTTACCTGTTAGAGTCTCCTGTAAAGAGTTATTAACCTTTAACTTATGACCATTATAAAAATATCTAAGCTCAATTACAGATATGAAAATTTGAAAGCTTGGATAAGCTACAATGTGGAATAAAAGGCAGAAGGTATAAATCTTAAGACCTTAGGAAAGTTGTCAGTCTTATTTTTTTAACAAGTGCTACTAAAAGCAGGGTATCTTTTTAAAAATAAAAAAACCCAGATAATCTAAAAATCCTCTGCAATCTTTAGATCTACATATTAAGGGGAGAGACACCCTAAATTTGTATCAATGGCCAGTAAAATTGTTAGATTTTGTTATTTCACACAGATAGTAGAAATTTCAGTGGCAGTACATTCACTGAAGAACGATTGAAATATTAAATACCTACTCTTTAGCTCAAACACAGAAAATCAATTTAAATGTACTGTTTTATGAACTCCAAATAAGTTGCCTGCTTTTTTTTTTTTTTTTTTGAGATTATTGCCCAGGCTAGAGTGCAATGGCGCAATCTCAGCTCACTGCAACCTTCGCCTCCCGGGTTCAAGCAATTCTCCTACCTCAGCCTACAAGTAGCTGGGATTACTACAGGCATGTGCCACCATGCCCCGCTAATTATGTATGTTTTTAGTAGAGCTGGAGTTTCTTCATGTTGGTCAGACTGCTCTTGAACTCCCTATCTCAGGTAACCTGCCCGCCTCAACCTCCCAAAGTGCTGGGATTGAGCCACCGCGCTCAGCTAATTGCCTGCTTTTGATTCTTGTCTTCATTTTTTTACAATAAGGCACTATGTAAATTATAAAAGTTACTGAAAATACTGTCTCACGATAAATTAACCCCAAAAGCTTGGATGAGGCTGGGCGCAGTGGCTCACGCCTGTAGTCCCAGCACTTTAGGAGGCCGAGGCGGGGGGATCACCTGAGGTTGGGAGTTCAAGACCAGCCTGGGCAACATGGTGAAACCCTGTGACTACTAAAAATACAAAAGCTAGCCGGGTGTGGTGGCGGGCACCTGTACTCAGCTGCCGGGAGGCTGAAGCAGGAGAATCGCTTGAACCCAGGAGGCAGAGGTTGCAGGGAGCCGAGATTGTGCCACAACACTGCAGCCTGGGGGACAGAGCAAGACTGTCTTAAAAAAAAAAAAAAACTTGGATGAAAGAGGGTCTTACAGTTTAGTAAATAAATCCTTTCTTGGGAAAACTTTAGGAAGTAAAAATTCTTCACTCTCCCCCCAAATTTAAGAAACACAAAAAGAATACTAAAAGACCTTCTGGATGAAGTAATTTTATAACTTTATTCCATGCAAAATATATTTGTTGAGCCCTTCTATATACAAATAGTTCAAATAACTATATGACAATAATTGTGATAAATGCTATTAAAGAAAAATATGTAAAAGCAACAGTTCTAAGAAAGAATATAAGAATGTGTTTCAGCAAAGGGGAACAGCATGTTCAAGGTACCTGAGAAAGATAGGAGCTTGGCAAATACAAAAATAAACCAGGATGATAACAGTTTTGTGAGTTCAGGTCAGGAGATTAGGCTGGAGCTGGATGAAGACCAGCTCATGCCTGCCTTGTACATATGTTTAGTTCTAAGAGCAGTAAGAAACCCATGACAGATTTAACAAAGTGAGTGATGTGTGATCACATATGTGTTCTTAAAAGATTGTTATACATGTTTCATGTAGAATAGATTAGGGAAGATCAGGGAAGATACAGGGAGACAATATACTCCTGCTATAGTAGTCAAGCCGGAAATCCTGATTGCCTGGATCCAGGGTTGTGGCAGTAGAAAAATAGATCAAAAGTAGATAAAATTTGCAGTAGTAATTAACTATACAGAAGCATTTGAAAAAGGATGATTAAAAACACAACAACAACCTTCGAGACCAGCCTGACCAATATGGAGAAACCCCAACTCTACTAAAAATAGAAAATTAGTCTGGCCTGGTGGCACATGCCTGTCATCCCAGCTACTCAGGAGGCTGAGGCAGTAGAATCGCTTGAACCTGAGAGACGGAGGTTGAAGTGAGCCGAGATTGTGCCCTTGCACTCCAGCCTGGGCAACGAGAGCGAAACTCTGTCTCAAATAAATAAAAACTAGAATTCTCATGCTTCTAGTATCATATACTGAGTAGAAGGTGGTGCCACTTACTGAGATGGGATATACTAAAGGAGAAGCAGGTTTGGAGACAAAACTGAATATTGATATAATTTTTGTTAAAATGTAATTCTGTCTTCAGCTTTGGATTTGAAATCACCAGGTAGACATGTTTTTCTCTTGATTTTTTTTAAACTAATATAAAAATGTATAGTTAAATATCTAATGACTGATGGGGGAAATGTTATTACTTAGTTTTATGAAACTTTTGCAGTATAGGAGGAGAATCAAATGCAGGTCTGATGTGTAGACTTTCAGGTGACCAAAGGCGGGGGCTACCAGTTCTTCTATTGAAATTGAGAATAATCTGCATAGTTTCTATTTTAGAGAATCATTAACCTCTTGGCCTCATTTTCTTGATCTATAAACTTTGGAAGATAAAACTGAATGATTTGTAAAGCTGCTTTTAGCTTTAAGGTTCTGTAACTTAGACATGTTTTTTTTTTTTTCACACGTGCATGAAATTTCCAATTAGCGCAGGAAAATTCTGGAGCCATGTTATGGGTGTGTGAGCAGGGAAGTCCTTTGGGGAGCGATACCATTAATTTGTGGCGGCTAAGTGAACTAAGTAAGACCTTAGTGATCTAAGGGAGCATATACAGGTACTCCCTAGAGTCCTTATTTATTTTATATGTTGGAGGTTTTTGATTCACTTAGATTTTTATGGGAAAATTTAAAAATATATAGTGGCAGTTTATAGAATGGGTTGAAATATCCTCTTCTTCTGAGTTAGCGACATAATTAATACTTCTCTGCCATAGTCCCATCTACATACTAGTATTAGAGTCCCATAGGAGTATTCCTGTCGTTACTGTCGTTGCATGTTCTTTAGAATACTGTTTCTATGGAGTTCAGCATGATAACAAAGTCATGAGCCTAACTAAAGATATCTGTTTTTCTGCTTCCTCTCTACTTCATTGAATGAGGAAATAAAAACTAAAGTGCTTTTTCTATCCACACATTCACAGAGCAAATACTTAGCAGATCAAAATACATTTAAGTTCCTTCGTTATGTGTAAGCAAAAAAAAAAAAAAAATGCATTTAAGAATAGCCACATGTTGATTATTGTTAAAGTTGGGTGATGGGTACATCAAAATTCATTACACTATTCTCTACATTAGCGTATGTGTGAGAACTTCCGTAATAAAAAGTTAAACTAAAAAAATCATCTTTTATTGTTTTAAAACATTAATAAATATTCTAGCATCAAGATTGGGGTAGTCCTGAATGTATAGTTTTTAGGGGGTGAAATTTAACTGTATAAATCATAGTCTGTTGACATTTGTGATTACTTCATTACTAAGTTTTACATATAAGAGTCTTCATACTTTGTTTCAGGGACAGAATGATGCTGCTGAAATTGGAACAAGAAATTTTAGATTTCATTGGTAATAATGAGTAAGTCCTGACATTTAACAAGAAAAGAAATTGTCATCACCATTCTCCTTGACTTACTAAATTGGTTTTTCTTGTGCTTCTAGGTCTCCACGTAAAAAATTCCCCCCAATGACATCTTACCATAGGATGCTATTACACAGAGTAGCCGCTTACTTTGGATTAGACCACAATGTTGATCAGAGTGGGAAGTCTGTCATAGTAAACAAAACTAGCAATACAAGAATGTAAGTGTCAAGAGATGTAACTGCATATTATATATCTAAATAATAATACTTTTATCTTTCTATAGTACCTTTCATCTGAGGTTTTCCACATGTTTGAGCAGTCTAATTAAGTTTGATGATAACCTTATGTGATAGGACTGAAAACACATTTAGTTTACTGGGAACAAAACGCAACAGCCTGAACTCAAGTATAGCATATGAATGAGGACTGGGGCATATGTTAAAAAAATAAAAACCCAGAGGACATAATATCAGTGATGTTTGACAACAACTTTTAGGGATTTTTAAAATTAATTTAGATAGCTATAGCCAGCCTTAGTCAAATTAATAAAAAAAAAAAAGAGAGAGAGAATAGACTTTGTCTGTGACACCTTCATATTTAGTTAATCTTCTGTCAGTTTACCATTCTTTCCAAAAAGCCTCCAGATTTACTCCTTTTCTCTCACAATTCTTAAGAAAGTGGGACTATTGGTTAATGCAATATCATCCATAGTGCTGTCTTCTTCCTAGGCTATGTATGACTCACCAAGGAAAATTTTTAAAGAGTTAGGAGGAGCTTTTTGTTTTAAGAATTGATTGCTTTATACTATTAAGGAAGTAGATCATCATTGCTGTTACTTGGGAACAAAAGACCCAATGCAGAGGCACCCAAGTTATAAAACATACACAGCACATCCGTTACATCTTCTGCCTATTTATAAGGCTAATCCTAAAACAACTAGCTGAGTTCAGCTAAAAAAGGAATTCCAGTTTGATATGAGGCAGCAACAAGTCTGTGGTAATGGATAGCAGTCAACTTCAGATGGCATAAATAGTCCTTTTTGGTCGATTATTTTTCTTTCCTGAAACCAAATTTCTCCCAGGTTCTTAGCTGTGAATGATTTAATTTGCATGGTTATATTTACTTCATCTATACCTTTTCTGATCTATGGTCTTTTGTCCTTATAGCTACCATATCACTTGCTGGAGTTATTGGTTTTCTCCCATTTTAAATAGTCTTTTTGTCAACTAAGTAGATACTTTAGTATTTTTAAATGATTTTTCCTATAATTAAAAGTAAATTAGTGAAAATAGATGTGTTTAGAAAGGGATCTTTTCTTTCTATAGGGATTAAATGTTACCAAAATGTGAGTCTGATTTAATTTTCATTAAAATTTTCATATCCCTTAATCTTTAATATTCTTTTCAATTAGTCTTTTTCCAGTCAGTTATATCATGACTAAAGTAGGATAGTAACCATTATGCTATGAGCTGAGCTAGAAGTAATTAGAACCGTTAATTCATTTAACCAGTACCTCTCAACATTACTCAGAGCTGCTGGATACCCAAGCACATATACATTTGCAGGCATTTTGACTGGTGACTCTCTAAGGTTTTCAATACAGTGTAACCTCAGTTATTTGAATTCTATGAATGATGTCAAAAAACTTTAGAGTTCTCTTTATCAAGATAATCAAAAGCTAGGCTCAGCAGAGATGCTTATAATACACTTAAAGAAGTATGGGTCAAGAATATAATTGTAACCTGACATTTCAGATCATTGAAGTTACACTGTATTTTTTCTTTTTAATATCTTCTGGGATATGAAGAAGGTAGTAAATCAGAAAACCTTAGAGATCTGCTCCACACTGAATAAAAACAAACTTACCTTTTCCTCATAGGGAGATTACCCGCTCCAGCCTTGAATCAGTGGTGTTGTGGATGTCAACAACCCAGTGTCCACTGGGGTGTCTCAATGGAGCGGGAAGTTGGCGATTACAGGGCAGTAAATTCAGGCATCTATAAAAGAATGAGGTAAGACAGTCTTAAGGTTAGCTGAAATGCCTGCCAGTGCTATTGGTGTGGGAATCCAGCTGCTCTTAGAAAAGTTGCCAGGCCCTTGGTTAAACCTTATAGTTCACTTTGGAATAGCAGTCCCTCATTCAATTATAAACTCCATAAATAAGAAAATGTGACTTTGAACAGTTACAAAAATAGTTAACATAAGTAAATGGGGCAATCATGACAAAAATAACATACTGCCATTGTCAGAACTAAATAAAAATATTTCAAATCCTTGAAGAAAATAGTCTTCTTATTATTTTGGTCACAAAGCTGTTTTTAGTCTTATTTTTCTTCTTTACTTCTTATATATATATTTATGTACAAATCTGTTCTCCATTTCACCCATCTAAGTATTTTACAATAGAGATTTCATTAACTTGCTTAGATAATTCTCCTTTTGCATAATTTGACAGGAGGCTTTTATGTTCTTTATTAGAAATTCATAGGTTAAAATAAATGTTCAGAAGTATTACTTCGGTTCTAAGGCCAGGCACCTGTAATCCCAGCACTTTGGGAGACTGAGGCAGGTAGATCACTTGAGGTCAGGAGTGCACAACCAGCCTGGCCAACACAATGAAACCCCATCTCTACTAAAAATACAAAAAAAAATTAGCTGGGCATGGTGGCACCTGCCTGTAATCTCACCTACTCAGAAGGCTGAGACAGGAGAATCGCTTGAACCCAGGCGGCAGAAGTTGCAGTGAGCTGAGATCGCACCATGGCACTCCAGCCTGGATGACAGAGTGAGACTCTGTTTCTAAAAAAATTTTTTAAAAAGAAGTGTTACTTAGGTTCTAGATATAAGGAAGTTTGCTGAAAATGTCATTACTCAGGTTTATTTGGATTAGAAATTTACTTAGGTTATTCACATATATCATTTGACTATATAATAGATATAAAAACTACCTAGGAGTTCAATGAAATTTTCTCTAAAGCCATTTAATATATTGTTATATTTCATATTTCAAAAGAATAATTCCAGTTTTATACTAGAATGATGCTTAGTCACAAGAGTATTGATTGAATTAATTTGTGGAAGCTGAGAATGTATTTTGGGAGGTGAAATTTTATGTAACTGTGATTTTCCAAGGGCCACAACCTTGTGTTTGTCCTCTAGAACCCAGTGGAACTTGCAACATTTCTGTAGAAGAAAGACGAGTTCACTATAAAATATATTGCTAAGATTTCATAAGCATTACTTTAGGTCACAACTTTAACCTCTATAAAAGAGCTTCTGTTTTCTAACCTGTTCAGTTAATGTTAAACAAACCTGTGCCCTACTGTAATTTAAAATTCATGGATGCAGTTTGAAGTCGTCTGTAAGTTTTTAGCTAATTGAATGACAAAATATTTTATTACTTTCAGTTGTATAACACCAAACTAGGTACCACAGGAGTAGCATAAGATACAGTACTGTACTTTCCTTGTCCCAGCATGTTTTCATAGGTTTAGATGAGGCAGTACAGGCTTTGGGTCTAACTGACCTGGCCTCCAACTATGGCTTAATCATATGCCTACCTTTGACCTTGCACATTTGCTTAAGCCATTTGAACCTCTGTTTGCTCAATAAGATTTATATAAATAACTAACTTCTGAGTGTTTACTGTTTTGTGTGTTATTGACATATTCATTTCATCTTCAGAATAACCCTAAGAAGTAGGTACACTATATAATTCCCATTTTACAAATAAAGAAACTGGGAAAGAAAAGTAAAGTAACTTTTGCAAGTCATCAAGCAGCTAAAGTGCTAAAGCTCAACCTTTGAATCCAAGCAGTCTGACTCCAGAGCCCACATTGTATTTGATATGGCCGCTCAACCATAACATGGAATAGTTAGTATTTTCTCATGAGATTATTGTGAGGACTAAATACGTCATCTATCTTATAAACTAGAGAGAAGGACATTTAGTATAGGCTTGGAGTTCAGCAGACCTGGGTTGAAATCCCAACTCTGCCATTTTCTAGCTGTGTGATCTCTATTTTAGCCTCCTGGAATCTCAGGTTCCTTATCTGTAAAATAAAAACAAAGATAGTGTCTACCATATAGGGTTTTTTTGGGGATAAATTATTATAACTGTCCATGAATACGTTCTCCAGTATGGCACTAAAAAGTGGTAACTTTTATTTTATTGCTTTTCATAAAATGTTATGTTTAACTTCTTTGCTAATATTGTGCATTATCTTCTCCTGTTCCTTTGTTTTTGTTTTTGTTTTTTAAGACCTGATCAGAAATTTAATGAACATATTAAGGATGATAAAGGTGAAGACTTTCAGAAACGTTATATCCTCAAGAGAGATAACTCTAGCTTTGACAAAGATGATAACCAGGTAATCTAGAACAAAGCATTTTTATAGGTGCAAGATATATTATACCAGTAGTTCATTTGCCAAAAAATTATCCTCTTTTCTGTAGATGAGAATACGTTTGAAAGATGACAGAAGAAGCAAATCTATAGAAGAAAGAGAAGAAGAGTACCAGAGAGCTAGAGATCGAATATTTTCCCAAGATGTATGTACTAACATATTTAGGTCTTCATGTTAGAATATATTTTAATTGCATTGTAGGGTCTCAGTCTCCCTTTTATCTATTGATCACATTTATTTGTAATCACATTTGTTGCATATAAGGTCATCTTTTAGAAATATTGAAATCACTTTTGCTTGTGTTATTAATTTAATAGTTTATAAAATACTACATTGCAGTAGTTACGTAAAATTTTACAAAGTTGGAAGCAGGTGGACTATAGGAGTCATTAAAAGAATGTTGGCCAGTGTATATAGTTTGTGTGATTTTTTTTTTTCCCCCAGACTTCTGACAGACTTGAGATTTTTATTAATAGAACATTGGTCCACTGTCTACAAAATCATATACTGTAGATGCTACTTGTTGACTTTCTTTGACGATAATTTATTTCTTCTTTTGAAATAAAGCTAATTGATGTTGTAGGTTAATATTTGTTTTCTGCTTTATAAGTGATTATGTAATATAGGCTTTCTAAATGGCTATTTTATGCATTTATGCCAGAAGAGAATCAGTTTGTTTTTTGTCGACATCTATTAAGCATCTGTCCCGTAATATGTGTTAATCTGCTAAAGACAGAAATTTCCTCTGTTTAAAAAAAAAAAAAAGATTAAATAATATTAAAATCCAGATTGTAAGTGAAGAACTTACTCGTTCAACAAATTTTATTGAGCACCTGTAGTAAGTGCAATCCTAGGCACTGGACAGTTATAATAGTTTATCCCCAAAACAACCCTATATGGTAGATACTACCTTTGTTTTTATTTTACAGATAAGGAACCTGAGATTCCAGGAGGCTAAATTAGAGATCACACAGCTAGAAAATGGCAGAGTTGGGATTTCAGCCCAAGTCTGCTGAACTCCAAGCCTATACTAAATGTCCTTCTCTCTAGTTTTTAAGATAGATGAGGTATCTGCCCTTGATGAATAGCCAAGTAATGACAACAGGGTGTGTGGTTTATGTAGAGACATGAAGGTATAACAGGTGACACAGCAGATGAGCACGACAAACCAGAACTGGGGAAGGGATGGGACAGTTCGCTTCCAAGAAGTAAACTTACAGAAGTGAAGAGTTCCAGGTACAGGGTCAGTATGTACAGAAACCCAGAGGTGAGGGAGAACTTGACACACATTAGGAATGAAAAGATTTAAAAGTAGGCCAGGCACAGTGGCTCACACCTGTAATCCCACCACTATGGGAGCGCTGAGGTGGGTGGCTCACTTGAGCTCAGGAGTTCAATAACAGCCTGAGCAACAAGGCAAAACCCCATCTCTACAAAAAATTAGCCAGGCATGGTGGTGCACATCTGTAGTCCCAGCTACTCAGGAGGCTGAGACAGGAGGATCTCCTGAACCCAGGAAGTAGAGGTTGCAGTGACCCAAGATAAGACTACTACACTCCAGCCTGAGTGACAGAGTGACCCTGTCTCAAAAAAAAGATTCCGAGTAGCCAGATTCTAGCCTGAGTGATGTAAGGAGTGAGGAAACTTTAGACTGGAAAAATAATCAGAAATGAGATGACACGGCCCTGAAGGTTTAAGATGTTTGGACTTTTGGCGGTTTTGGTGGTGGTTTTTTGTTTTGGGTTTTATTTATTTATTATTTATTTACTTTTGGCTTTTTTCTTTTTTGGTCAGCAGACTTTTTCTGTAAAGGTCAGATAATAGCTGTTTTAGGGATTGTGAGCCACATAGTCTTCATTGCAGCTACTCAAATCTGACTTTTTTTTTTCTACTCAAATGTGAAAGCAGCCACAGACAATACATAAATGAATGGTCATGGCCGTGTTCCTGTTCCAGTAAAACTTTATTTGCAGAAACGGGTATCTGGCTGTAGTTTGCTGACACTTGTGCTAAAACATCAGGGAGCCATTCAGGTGGGAAGAATTATGATCAGATTGACATTTTAGAGAGATTGCTTCTGTTACATAAAATGGGCAAAAAATGGTAACTGGAAAACTAGTTAGAAAACTGTTGTAATCATACAAACAAAAATGGTCATTCCTGACCCAGGTTAACAGTGCTGAAGGACTTTAAGCACCATTAAGGCATAGCTACTTGTTCACTGCTCTAGCCACAGATAAAAGCACAGGTGATCAAATATTTGTTAAGTGAATGAAGTGGAATATATATTCTATATATACCTTAAATATATAATGAAAATGGGTTCACTTATTTGGAAGATAATATTTGAATTTCAAATTAATTTGAGCCACAAAATGAATGGCTTCAAGATACATATATATTTGTTAAAAGTAAGCATGGAATCTCCAAACCAGAAAAAAAATTCCATTATTATTTATTTGTGTACCCTTATCACCATTTTTAACTTATGTTATTAAACATGATTTTTGTTGTAGTCATTGGTTTACAGATGGCATTATATTATATTTGACAAAAGCTCAACTTTTTGTTTCTATTCTTTCTTTCTAGTCCCTGTGTTCCCAAGAGAATTACATTATTGACAAAAGGTGAGGGAATTTTTAACATCTGTTTTGGTAACTGTCTGACTGATGCTAATAAACGTTAAAATGTCCTATTAAAATGCCAACAGACTCCAAGACGAAGATGCCAGTAGTACCCAGCAGAGGCGCCAGATATTTAGGTATTGGAAGCATGTTTTCAATACAGTATTAAAAAAGTAAAACATTTTTTTCTTTACTTTTTGTTCCCCCGCATTAGCTTTTCAAAGTTTTATTTCTAAATTACAGAGTTAATAAAGATGCTTCAGGGAGATCCACAAATAGCCATCAAAGCAGCACTGAGAATGAGTTGAAGTACTCGGAACCACGACCCTGGAGCAGCACAGATTCAGACAGCTCTCTTCGAAACCTGAAACCTGCTGTAACCAAAGCGAGCAGCTTCAGTGGAATCTCAGTCCTGACAAGAGGTGATAGTTCTGGAAGCAGCAAAAGCATAGGCAGGCTTTCAAAAACAGGTATAAATATCTACACAGAACTGTGCAGTCATTAGTTTTCCTAATGTTATCTTAGGTCCTTATTTATCAGATGGCTTCTAATTCTCCTAAAATATAAAATTACTATCAACAGTACCTTGACTACCTCCAAAATACTTAAGGGGTAATATGTTTCTTGACATGAGGATTCACTCTCTGTCCTTGAGACAGATTTACAACCATCAATTACCGTAAAAATTCTTCTCTATTGTGACATAAACTTAATCAGGTAAGTTCACTGAAACGTTATCTCTTGTTCGAATGCCCATAGGTGATTGGAAATTCTTTATTACTTATTCATAGTTGGTAGAAGGCATGGTTTCTCACCTAGGATTATTTAACACTGATTGCATTTTCAGCTAATACTATCAATTATTGATTGCATTTTTTATGATAAAGTCCTTCATTTTCCATTAAAAAAAAAAATTAAATTGCTGAGGATATTTTGAGGAATTTAAAAACCAAAAATAAATAACTGTTAAAAATGACTGAAAATTTCAATAATCTCCTCATTCTACTACCTCCTTCCTTGGAGTTCATTGTCTCATAACATTTCTTCTTTTCATTTCCACTAACTGGCTTCAATACTAAAGAAGCTCATGTGTTTTTAGGATCCTTGAAGATCTTTATTTTTATCCCAAAATAAGCATGAAAGTCAGAAATGAGTGTTTCCCTGGCCGGGCGCAGTGGCTCACACCTGTAATCCCAACACTGTGGGATGCCAAGGCAGGCAGATCACCTGAGGTCAGGAGTTCAAGACCACCCTGGCCAACATGGCAAAACCCCATCTCTACTAAAAATACTTAAAAATCAGCTGGGTGTGGTGGCGCATGCCTGTAGTCCCAGCTGCTTGGGAGGCTGAGGCAGGAGAATCACTTGAACCCAGGAGGCAGAGGCTGCAGTGAGCTGAGATCATACCACTGCACTCCAGCCTGGGCAACAAAGCAAGACTCCATCTCAAAAAAAAAAAAAAAAAAAAAAAAAAGGATAAAAGGAGGAATGGCTATTTCTTCCTAATCTATTTGGGTGAGCCTAAACATAAGGTATTGTACGCATAAGAATTGAAAGACATATTTGAACTGAAGGGCTGTAATCAATGCTTTAAATTATTAAGGCTTATGAATTGCAGTTGCCATCTTTTTAATGTATAATGTGGTCGTATTGAAAATATCTTAGTATCTATGTTAGGATTTTGTGAAAGATAGGTAAATTTTATCAGTATAAGAAATCTGCTTGTGTACCAAATATGCATTATTTGGAAAATGGCCACTAGGTCATCATAACAAAAGAAGCTATTTATGTATCATGAGAAAATTATGTAGACACTCTGCCAAATTAAAACATTTTAAGAATATGTACTATATGTATTCTGTATTCTCTTCAGAGATGAAAAGAAATATTAATTGGCCCTTTTAATAGGCAAAAAGAAGTTTTTTGTTTTTAATTCTTAAGTTAAATTGATAAAGTTTTTATGAAGAGTTATTTTGGCACAACTTAAAATAGAATCTGTCCTTCAGAAGGCAGTCTATATAGTGTATCATAGTTGTTTCATTCATTAAAGATTAATTCCATCCCAGAGTCAATTCTCTTATTCAAAACCTAATTAACTGTATACATAAGATGCAAATCATTGTCTTTCTTTGTCTTGTTGGCCACCTTTTTTAGCCATTATGCTAAAAATCAGTGACATTTTCAGTTCTTGTATAATAGAAAATGGAATAAATTCAGGGATGAAAGCATTTAAAAATCAGTTATCAAATTAGTTCAGTAAGAAATAAATTTTAAGTTAACACCCGTATAAGTACTTGGAATATTTTTCCTGATATCTCTGTCCCTTGATTAGATAAAATACTCAAAGTTGATTTTACATTTTGGAAAAATGCTATGCTAGTAAAATGAGAAATTAGATTCTGCAATTAAACTTGACAATTGTCTTAATACAGAATTTATCATTTCTTTTATTTCTTACACTAAATCTTTCTGTGTTCTTATAGATAAAGGGTTTCTGGTATTAAAAGTTTTAGGCATTTTGCTGTACTAAATTCTTTTTCCTGGGGGAAAATTATCTATATATTCCTAGGTGTTAATCTAAAAGGTAAAATGTACATAACTTTGTCCTTTTGGGAATGTGGGTAATTTGCTTTTTGTGGCTGTCTGTGGCTGGTGTTGTTATAAATGTGCTTAAGTTGCATGCTTTGGCAGTGATTTCTCTGACAACTTACGTAATCAGTTTGCTGTATTAAACTTGTTTGTTATGGGGAGGGTAAGCAAACGTGGACAGTAAATTAAAAAGAGCCAATGCTTTTATGTAGTAACTGCATGTTATGCAATGTAAATTTTATTGTTATGTTTTGAAAACCTGTGTTTTTATATGAGGTTTAAAAAATCCCTATTTTTCATTACTCCTTTTCTAGGTTCTGAGTCTTCTGGTAGTGTAGGGTCATCTACAGGCTCTCTTTCTCACATCCAGCAGCCTCTTCCAGGTACAGCTCTCAGCCAGTCTTCTCATGGCGCACCTGTCGTCTATCCAACTGTCAGCACTCATAGTTCTCTTTCCTTTGATGGTGGCCTAAATGGGCAAGTCGCATCTCCTAGCACTAGCTTCTTTTTGCTTCCCTTGGAAGCGGCAGGCATACCACCTGGCAGTATTCTGATCAACCCACAAACAGGTTGGTATCCAGAAAAAGGTGTTTCAGGAATTATCTGAAAATTTAAGGATACTTATTAAATGTATTTTCTGAATATATGTAGTCAGCTTTTTATTATTCATGATTAGCATTTTCCAAGAACTTTATAACAAAAACACTTATGCTAGGAAAGTTTAAAAGACATTTATATCGGGAAGCATTTTTTCCCCTTGTGACGTCTGTGACATCGTCTAGGCCAAATAATAGCCCAACTATAATTTTAAAAAATTTATTTCCTAGGAATAAGACAACTACCTACAAAAGAGCTTTGTTTGATACAACAATTTTTTTTTAACCAATATTGACTTTTTGGGATGATATAACAATTTTATACTTGGGAAAATCAAATGCATTTTATGAAGAAGGACTGAATAAGCAGTTTTTTTTTTTTATTATATAATGGAGGGGGAAAAAATAATTACCTTTCAGAATGTGGTGATTTCCTACTGAGGAAAAGCTAAAGAACATCTTATTGGTATTAAAAAAAAAATTGGGGGGATTCATGTATTAATATTGACAGTACATATTCTTTGCAATTAGCTAATAGTAATTTACATTTTTTAGCATTTGCTTTTACCAAATGCTCTGTTAGGTGCTTTAAATATGTTATAACCTTGTTAGGTAAGTGAAATCATTTATAGATAAAGAAATCATTTATAGATAAAGAATCACCTCAGAGAGGTGAAGAAACTGCAGTTATAGTACAGTTCACTATGTAAATAGGTAAAAATGATTTGTATAGAAAAAATATGATCTTTAAAAAGGTCACAAGAAGTCTTGGTCTCTTCAAGATAGCATAGCCCAGTCATTTGGCAAGGTAATGAAAACTCTCCTTGATCTTTTGATAACTTTAAATCTCATATATTTAGCTGATGTGGTATCATCATAATGGCAGTAGTTTACAGGCAGATACAGGTGGAAGTATAAGGTCTCTAAGTGTTCCTGAACCTTTCCTTTCGTTTGTAGTAGAAAAATCATGGCTAGGGACTCATTACTTTCAGGTTTATTCACATCTCTTTTTAAGATAAAGTAGGCAAACGTTTGTTCTCTTATAAGAATTAAATTAGCATAAATAACTGATTTTTCAGAAATTCAGTTTTTGCTTAGTAATTACCTTCTTATTCTTCAGGTTATTATATTACTAAGCTTCCTGTTTTTGTCCAGCAAGATGTAAGATGATTTAATATTTTACCTTTTCCTATTATTTTTCATTCAAAATATATTAATATGGTTTTGGTAACATGAAAGATTCATTTGCTTAGGAAGGGATAGAGTGAGAAACTAATTGGTCTGAAACTGAATTGTACTATTAACTTAAATGAATCTAAAAGTGATCTCTTTGGTTTTTGAGAACAGTGTTATAGTACATTAACTTTTTTCAAGTGACCCTTAATTTGGATTTGACTGCCTTCACCCAAATCTGCTCCACCCATTTTTTTTAACCAAATTATTATTTTTTTTTAATTTTTTTTATTTTTTATTTTTTTTGAGAAGGAGTCTTGCTCTGTCGCCCAGGCTGGAGTGCAGTGGTGTCATCTCGACTCACTGCAAGCTCCGCCTCCCGGGTTCACGCCATTCTCCTGCCTCAGCCTCCTGAGTAGCTGGGACTACAAGCGCCCACCACCACACCTGGCTAATTTTTTGTATTTTTTAATAGAGACAGGGTTTCACCATATTAGCCAGGATGGTCTTGATCTCCTGACTTCGTGATCCGCCCACCTCGGCCTCCCAGAGTGCTGAGATTACAGGCGTGAGCCACTGCGCCCGGCCTCCCAAATTATTTAGTAGTCAACAAATACCCAGGACAACTTTTTAGTTAGCTATAACTATCACACAAATTATCAGTATACTAATTGATTAAAATAATTTTACTTTGGAGGACTTTTTCTGCTTGATAGCTGTAGACTAGTATAGTCTTCTCTCCCAAATATTATTATTTTATGTCATAAGTTTCCTCAAAAAAAAAATGGAGAGGGATTTCCTATGGAAGAATAGATGTTAAGACAATTTAAGAAACTGTTTTTCAGTCAAATTTTTCTGTGTTTCTCTGTATTTTTCTCACTCATAGTCATTGAACCGTTAATTTTTATGCACTCCTTTCTTGTTTCTTTTTTTAACAATCCAATTTTAGTAAAGAAAAATACTAATCTTTCAATCTATTTATTGAAAAAATGTCTGGAAGACAGTATCTGAAATGCTAATGATATGATTATGGGGAATTCCACAACAACAAAGACACGGAATCAACTAAATGCCCATCAGGGATAGACTGGATAAAGAAAATGTGGTGCATATACTCTATTAAATACTATGAAGCCATAAAAAAGAACAAGATCATGCCCTTCTCAGGAACACAGATGGAGGTGGAGGCCATTATCCTTAGCAAACTAATGCAGGAACAGAAAACCAAATATCACACGTTCTCACTTAATAGTGGGAGCTAAATGCGGAGAACATGTGAACACATGAGTGAAACAGTACACACTGGGGCTTATCAGAGGGTGGAGGGTGGGAGGAGGGAGAGGATCAGGAAAAATAACTAATGGGTGACAAAATAATTCATATAATAAGCCACTACAACACAAGTTTACCCGTATAACAAACCTGCACATATGCCCCTGAACCTAAAAGTGAAATCACACACACATACACACACACACACACAAACACACACAGATTATGGGGAATTTATTTTCTTTTTTGTCTCTTTGTTATTTTTAGAAATGTTACTTTTTGTAATAAGGAAAAGTTGTTTAGAATATATGTGTAGAGAAACTGGGTGCAGTGGCTCACACCTGTAATCCCAGCATTTTAGGAGACCAAGGAGGGTGGATCACGTGAGGTCAGCAGTTCGAGACCAGCCTGGCCAACATGGTGAAACCCCATCTCTACTAAAAATATAAAAATTAGCCTGGCGTGGTGGCAAGTGCCTATAATCCCAGCCAGTCTGGAGGCTGAGGCAGGAGAATTGCTTGAACCCAAGGGAGGCTGAGGTTGCAGTGAACTGAGATCATGCCACCACACTCCAGCCTGGGCTGGGCAACAGAGTGAGACTGTCTCAAAAAAAAAAAAAAAAAGAAGTTGTAAAATAAGGACACTACCATCAAGATTACAATTTGAAGCATGAAGCTATTAATCATTTTAGTTTTTCATCCAGTTCTAATCTTATTTGTGAAATATATGTAATGTGGCCTCAAAATTAGGTATTTCCTACCTCCTAATAAAAACTAATGAATAACTTTCCAATATCCTGAAGTCAAGCGTTTTCTCTTTGAACTGAAATATAGCCTTATAGGACCCCAATCCTGTGACTGAATTTCTTAGGCTAAATGTGTTGCATAATTCAGAGTTTTTCAGAAAATACCACATATTATGAAATAAGGCTGGGATTACTTTGGGAGGCCAAGGCAGATGGATCACCTGAGATCAGGAGTTTGAGACCAGCCTGGCCAGCATGGTGAAACCCCATCTCTACTAAAAATACAAAAATTAGCCATGTGTGATGTCACATGCCTGTAATCCCAGCTACTTGGGAGGCTGAGGCAGGAGAATCATTTGAACCCAAGAGGCAGAGGTTGCCCTGAGGTGAGATTGTGCCACTGTACTCCAGTCTGGGCAACAGAGGGAGACTCCGTCTAAGAAAATAATAATAAATTAATTTAATTAAGCTCACTAGCGGTCTGGGCCAGTACCCCTTAATAAGAAATGCAGTAAAACATTTGAATATTTACTCTAAGTGAGGGAAATAAAGACTATTGATAGCCTCATGTCAGATCAAGCATTTCCCAAACTAAGGAAATCTGTTTTCAAAATATTAGGTTTTTTTTTTCAATTGTGGTTAAGGGATTTTGGATATGCTTTGTAAATTGTTAGTAAAAGGACCTATTTCCCATCTGTATTCTAAGTTGGTTTTTTTTTCCTTCTTTTTAAATTTTTCAGGTCAGCCCTTCATAAACCCAGATGGGAGTCCAGTTGTGTATAATCCTCCTATGACTCAACAACCAGTTAGACCCCAAGTGCCTGGACCTCCACAGCCACCTCTGCCAGCCCCACCTCAACAACCAGCAGCTAATCACATTTTCTCACAGGTGCACATATCCACGATTACATAATGCTAAGTTGACTAGCCCTTACATATTTGGGACTAAATTTGCTAATTAAAATTGAGATAGCCCAAGTAAGTATCTCTTAGAACTTTAATATTCTGCCACCAGTGATATTCCACTCACTACTCATAGGAAAAGAGAGAGAACTTCAAAGACTTTTCCCCTGATAAATACCGAAAATATATTGGAAAGAAGAGAATTGTTTTAATCTTACGAGCCTGTCTGGTGAGTATTTTATCCCTATTTGACAACAGCAAGAAATGGACAACAGGAGGAATAAAAACAAAACTGAGATTGTTCATTGGCCCAGTGAGCAAAGTGAGTTGTTTTAAGATTCTACAGATTAAGCAGTTAAAAGAAACTGAGATAGGCTGCTCAGGTTCTACAAGATACTCTTCATCCATTGTACCTACCCTATGAAAGACAAAGCGATTCTGAGTTAGAATTCCCAAAAGTACTCTTAATAATATTTTGAGTTTGTAAAAATGTTTAGAATTTATACATTCATTTCACATTTGGTCTTTTTCCCCTAAAGATATAATATCCACCTTTGGGGAACTTGATTATACCAGTATGAACTCTTATTTTTATTCTAACTTTTTTTTTTTTTTTTTTGAGTTTTTTTTTTTTTTTTTTTGGCCCAGGCTGGAGTGTAGTGGGATTACAGGCGTGAGCTACTGCGCCCGGTTTATTCTAATTTTTAAAGGTTGTTTAATATATCAAAGTTTATGTAGTTATATCTCTTTTTCCCTGCAAGACTCTAAATTCATTGGTGAAAACATGCAGAGTGATTTTGTATGAAAGAAGTATGATGGGCCAGGCGCAGTGGCTCACGCCTGTAATCCCAGCACTTTGGGAGGCCGAGGCAGGCGGATCACCTGAGGTCAGGAGTTCGAGCCCAGCCTGGCCCAAACAGTGAAACCCCCATCTCTCCTAAAAATACAAAAATTAGTCAGGTGTGGTGGTGTGCCCCTATAGTCCCAGGTACTTGGGAGGCTGAGGCAGAAGAATCACTTGAACCTGGGAGGTTGCAGTAAGCCGAGATCAGGCCATTGCACACCAGCCTGGGTAACAGAGCAAGACTCTGTCTCAAAAAAATAATTAAATAAATAAGTGAGTATCCCTTAAAAAAGAAGAAGAAGTAGTATGATGACAAACTTGAACTGGAGAAATTTCATTAATTTTGCTCACAAATGATATCATTTGTATTCCTGGGTTGAAGAACGTACAAGTTTAATTATATTTAATGGTGTGAAAGTCATAAAAAATAATTATACTTCTGGCAATTAAGACTCCTAATACTGGGCAAGGCAGTTTTTTTTAAAAGAAGAAGAACTTACAGGCTTTGGATACACTTCTAAGACCATACAAATCAGTTAATGTATGTAGAAGAGATTGCCTGAAACTATTTCCACAGACTCCCATATTCCCTTCCCAATCCCATTTGGTTACATACACTGAGCTTGCATAAAACTTCTTCCCTGGCTTTCTCTGTCTTGGCTTCAGTCAGCTTGGTCCCAAAGAGTTTCCTCTTTATTATGCAGTCATGTAGTTGTCTTTGCAGTGCCATGTATTTCACCAGGAGCTTTAAAGCACTAATTTTCATTTGGTTTCATTTTTATTTAAATTTCAGTGGAAATAATGTTAATCTGGCAACTTTAAAAAACTCCGGGATTTATCTTTTCAGATTATTATCTCTTAGAACTTTGTCTGATTTAGTTATAAGAGACAGTTCTAAATGAAGATGTAGGCCACCTAATTTAGAAACAGATGCTTTAATGAGCTATAATTTGAATTCTTGGGATATTCACCAAATTTCATAACTTATTTTTCTAGCATTGCTCCAAGTGTTTCAGGTAACGCATCAGCAGATCCAGAAACAGACTCAAAGAACAAGTGATTCTAAATAAATATCTTTTGCACAATCTGAAATAATTCATCAGTGAGATTTCAAATAACCAAACAAAATAATGCTATGATTTCCAAAGCCTGCAGAAGAGCTACTTTTCTTCGACGTAACATAAAACCAGTTACTTTAGGTAGATGTTGTTTTGCAGCGAATTGCAATTCAAGTAGGAAAAGGATTGTGCTAAGACTTTTTCTTCTCTAAATGGTGTCAGAATTTCACTTTCACAGTTTTTTTCATTACTCTCTGAAACTCAGGAAGACATTAATTCATACCCTTGGTGCTCTTAGTACTTTCCTTAATCCCGCAGCTGACTAAAACTTTTGTTTCATCTGACAATTACATAGGAGGTCAAGTCATCTGAAAGTTATGTCTTAATGGTTATCTGACTTAATAACACATCAAGTAGCCTGTTCTTGAAAATTCTAAATCTATTGCACCTCATGTAGTATAATATGTACTGTCATCCATTAGGAAGCTCACTTATTTCTAGCCATGAGTTTTGTGAGGAACCAGATGCTACTTTATGGATCTTTCAGCTTTTACTGAAAGATTTTTTTAATGCTTTAATTATAGTTTTTTTGCTTTATTTTAAGTTTATCTAAGCCTTTGTTTTTTAGAAACCATTGTGTTGATTTTGTGGTAAAAGTGCAACTCAAATCATTATCTAATATCTCTCATGTTATAGACAAACAATGTCTATCTTAGTTGACATAGAAGTTCTCTATTTAAACTATTGCCTGAACAATCTTAATTCCATTAGTTTATCTAACATTTTTAAAGTATTGTCTTCAGAGATATTGTTCAGAAGGAGATGCATGAATATACATTTTAACTAAGAGTTTTCATCAAGTAAGATTCCCTAGGTTCCTCATCTACTTGCTTATGTGACTGTCTACAAGTCACTTAATTTACCTTAGTCTGATTGCCTTCTGTAAAGTGGGTTGCTATAGTCTTTACCCAATATGTATATTACCTTTTTTGTAATAAACAGTATAAATATGAGAAAATTAAACAGATGCCAATTTTAGTTAGTAGATGGCCAGCTGTATTCCCAAGATTGAAAAGTGATTACAACTTCTTTTAAAAAATAACACCTGTTTTTGAATGCCCCCGGGAAACATAAAACCTTTTTTTCCAGAAACTCAGGAATATTTGATTAACGGCCAGAGATTTTAAGTAACTAGTTTCTCAGCTCCTAACATGTACTATCTTAATAGAAATGTGTTTAATTACAAAGGAAGTGTTTATCTTCCTTATATAAAAGAGATGTGTTTGTGTGTGTGTGTGCATGTGTCTGTATGTATATGTGTGTTGTTCCTTAGGCTATCATTCTTAATAGTTCCCACTGTATTTTTTTACCCAGTGCATTTTTCTTATAAAATTCCTGGCTGGGCACGGTGGCTCAAGCCTGTAATCCCAGCACTTTGGGAGGCCGAGACAGGTGGATCACGAGGTCAGGAGATCGAGACCATCCTGGCTAACCCGGTGAAACCCCGTCTCTACTAAAAAAATACAAAAAAACTAGCCGGGCGCTGTGGCGGGTGCCTGTAGTCCCAGCTACTCGGGAAGCTGAGGCAGGAGAATGGGGAACCCAGGAGGCGGAGCTTGCAGTGAGCCAAGATCGCACCACTGCACTCCAGCCTGGGCAACAGAGCGAGACTCAGTCTCAAAAAATAAAATAAAATAAAATAAAATTGCTAAAAGTTAGGGGCTTTGGTCCCAAAAGACTGCTTAATTTTGCCTTATCAGTAGGGTAATTGTAACAGTTATTGTGTAAGTTATTGCTGTCTGATAGTAAGAATGAAGTTTTTCATTTATAATTTAGTATTATACTGCAAAATAGGGCAGCCCTTTCATAAAACCAGGAAATAATGAGAAGTAGTTTTGCTTTGACTGACTTAACCCAGGGGTCTTGGTTAAATAATAGGATTCAAAATGCCTAAATCACCTGTTCCCATTAATCTATAATAAAGAAATATTTTATTGCAAAAAATTATCCTCCTAATTATGTAATAAATTCAGGCATACATGTTTTTGAAACTTTTACTGTATTAGAATTTCTTCACTTTGTATTGTTTTTGTTGTTTCCTATGTTGTTATATTTTAAATGACTTTATAAATGTAGTTAAAGCTATTGCGAAAAAAGTGTAAATTTCCATTTTATGCAATTCTTCTAACGTTTTATTCTGACATTAACATTGTTTGCCAACCTGTTATTCTTTAGCCTGTTCGTCCTCTGCAGTCCTCTTCACAGCCTGTTCAGTACTCTACAGCCCCTTACCCATCCCCGCTCCTGCCAGTCTCACCCACCCAGCAATACTCCGTGGTACTATATCTCTATTCACCTCCTGCGTTGTTTCTGTGGGTGGATGTGTGATGAATGCTCAAGAGTGTCATTAATGTAATACGATCTTTTGTGATTTTTTTGAGTCAGGTTTACATATGTATCTAAAAAAAGTATTTCTGATTCATAGTAGAAATGATTTATTCTGTTCCATAAAATATTGGTTATAGTGGCTTATTATGGTGATTGTTTAATCTTTTCCTGCTTTTTCATAATGAAAGAATTTTCAGGTTGATTATTCTAGTCCTAATACGTTTCAGCAACTTTCTCATTGAGACCAGTGCAGGATCTGTGCTGTCCTGGGATGGTAGCTTTCATCTGAGTTTAGGCATTGTATTTTCTCACCAACACTGAAGGTCCAGTAGACTCAGTACCAGTTCTTAGGGCGAGTTGTAGCTTACATCTACAGAGGACTTCTAAGTGTATTTTCTAAGAAGATTTCTGGATATTTAATCTGTGACTGTAAAGTAATGATACTTTCTTCAATCCAAAGTATGCCCCCAATTTTTATTGGAATAAGAAAATGACTTTTTTCCAAGGTGACTTTGAGAGTGGTATACAGTTATGGTACTTCTATTAACAATATTTGATCATATAACATTGAAATTACAGTTCATAGGTACATTTTTTTCTTTTTGAAAGCATTCACTAAGTTAGGCTAATAGTGCTAGAGTATGTCAGAGTGACTGTTTGGGAAGAGAAAAACCATATATTTTCAATCATTAAATCAGGCGTCTCCTTTCAGTCCTTTATCTTCTCCATAGCCTTCATTTTCTTCGAAAAATCCAGTAGATCTAGAAACTGCAGACATGGCAGCTTTGATCTGATGACTCAATTGCCACAATTTTGTGTTAACCTTTTAACAAAATGTGGTATATTTTGTTGCCAGTCTGTAGTTTCTTGGGAATAGGGAGCATTTTAACCCTATATCATCATTTCAGTTATATTTTTCTGGAACAATAAGAGCTGGTCCTTATCCTGTTGAATTAGAGAAATGTTTGTCAGATAGCACATAAATCATAACCCTTGTCTTGGTAGGGCACCATTTAGCAAAAGCATAGGAAACTGTCATTTGAATTACATTTGTCAAATTATCTGACTTCCAGAACAGACTGAAAAACACAAGGGAAGAATGGAATGTATGGCCAAATTATTTCTGAAAGATTAGAGAAAGGATTGTGTAGTTGGATTTTATGTATTTAATTTCTACAAGTAATTTTCATGGTTAGGGATACAAAAATGCATAGAATTTGAATTTTGCCTTCTAGGAAGAGGGGAGATAATTTAAAGCAAATACTAATTAGTACCTTGCTCATTGCTTGGTCTTTGAAGTCCTTTCAGAAAATACTAATTGTATAATATGAACATGGCCAATTTCACTTCTACATTCTAATGTTAACTTTCATCTTCATTTAAATAAATGTCTTCATGTTTTAATGTGAAATGTTGTACCCTACTCTTTTCTGCATGCTGTACATCCCCATTAGATATATTTTTTAAATAATTTATAATGACAGCATTATAATATTCAACAATAGAGTTGTCATTTTTTTGAAGCTTCACTCTGTTACATTATTGCTGTTGTAGAGATATATAATTTCCATAATATGTACTACTGTACCTTATTTTAAAATAGGAAGTATTTTTCTTTGATAAGTTTGGCTATGTGTAGAAGGCTTACTAATTTTTGACTTGTTCCTTTTTTAGCAGGATAACCTTGGGTCTCAGTTTAGTCACATGAGTCTTGCTCGCCAGCCATCTACTGATGGTTCTGACCCTCATACCACCATGTTCCAGTCCACTGTGGTTCTTCAGTCTCCACAGCAGTCTGGTTATATCATGACAGCAGCCCCTCCACCACATCCTCCTCCACCGCCACCACCACCACCTCCTCCTCCTCCCCTACCACCTGGGCAGCCAGTCCCTACTGCTGGATATTCTGCCTCTGGTCATCCTGTCAGCCAGCCTGTGCTCCAGCAGCAGGGATATATTCAGCAGCCATCACCACAGGTATATTGCTTTTTAACCTTTTCTTTCTTGTGGAAACCTCTCACTTAAGATCAGTTTTAACTTCAAAGAACTTGTTTTTAAATTCTCATGAAGAGAATTTGTCAGAGTATATAAACAAAGCATATAGTCATCTTTCCTCCTCTGGAGATTTTCATGCATGTGCTAAGCAACCATATGACAGGTAAATGCTCCAGTTGGTTGGTAAAGTATGTGAGCTTTAAGGGTTTTTTTTCTGACTGAGAGGTATGGGTTTCTAAAAAACTAACCTAAGGGAAACACAATAAAGTGTAAATCCACTGTAAAAATAAAATGGTAAGGCAGGGCACAGTGGCTCACACCCGTAATCCCAGCACTTTGTGAGACTGAGGCAGACTCACGAGGCTGGACTTGAGCCTAGGAGTTGGAGACCAGCCTGGGCAACATGGCGAAACTTTTGAATGTTTAACTGACTTTTAATTTCTGAAACAGACTATCCTTATATGTTGTGGGATTCTGTTTGCTAATATTTGTTAAAGATTTTTGCATCTATGTTCATGAAGGATATTGGTCTGCAGTTCGCTTGTAGTATTTTTGGTTGTACTCTCCGGGTGGTACTAGCCTTAAAATGAGTTGGGCATTGTTCCCTACTCCTTTATTTTCTAAAGGTGTTTGTGTAGGATTGATGTTACTTCTTCTCACATGTTTGCCAGAATTCATCAATGAATTCATCTATAACTGGAGATTTTTTGCAGGGAAGGTTTTTAAATTACAAATTTAATTTCTTAGTAGATATGAAAGGATTCCAGTTCTCTGTTTCTCTTTGGACTAATTGTCATAATTTGTGTCCATTTCATGTTTCAAGCTTGTCATAAAATTGTTCTTAATATCCCCTTATGCTTTTAATATCTTTAGGATCTTAGTGTTGTTCCCTCTTTATTTCTTGATATGGGAATTTTACACTCTTGTTTTTGTTTATTAATTTAACCAGATGGCTTATCAATTCTTTTGATGTTCTTAAAAAAAAAAAACCGGCCGGAGGTGGTGGCTCACGCTTGCGATCCCAGCCCTCTGGGAGGCTGAGGCAGGTGGATCACTCGAGGTCAGGAGTTCATGACCAGCCTGGCCAACATGGCGAAACCCTTTTTCTACTGAAAATACAAAAATTAGCCAGGCATGGTGGTGCACGCCTGTAATCCCAGCTACTGGGGAGGCTGAGGCAGGAGAATCACTTGAACCCAGGACATGAAGGTTGCAGCGAGCCGAGATTGAGCCACTGCACTCCAGCCTGGGCAACAGAGCGAGACTCCATCTCAAAAAAAAAAAAAGTTTCATGAATTTTTATGATTTTATTTTCAGCGATTTTAGATTTTTCTTCTTTCTAATAGAAGTTTTTAATGCTATAAATTTTTTTTTTTTTTAATTCTGCAAATTTCTAAGCAACATTTTGGTGCTATCCACAAATTTGGATATGTAGCATGTTAGTTATTATTTAGTTTAAAATGTTTTGTTTTTTAGGAGAACTTTTTATGACCCATGACTTACTTAGAAGTATGTTATTTAATTTCCAAATATTTAGGGGCTTTCTAAATACCTTTCGTTATTGATTGCTATTTTAATTATATGTGGTCAGAGAGCTCACTCTTTAAGATTTCAGTGTTTTGAGCCGGACACAGTAGCTTATGTCTGTAATCCCAGCACTTTGGGAGGCCAAGATGGGCAGATCACTTGAGGTCAGGAGTTTGAGACCAACTTTGCCAACATGGTGAAACCCCATCTCTAATAAAAATACAAAAATTAGCTGGGCATGCTGGTGTGCACCTGTAATCCTAGCTTCTCGTGGGCGTGAGGCAGGAGAATTATTTGAACCCGGTAGGCAGAGGTTGCAGTGAGCTGAGAATTCGTGTTCTAATATTTTAGTGTTATGTGTTTTTTTGTTCAGGATTTTTTTGTGAGGCAGGGCATTTTGATTTTTTTATTGAAATTCACATAATATAAAATTAACCATTTAACCATTTTTATGTGAACATTTTAGTTGCATTTAGTACATATTCACAGTGTTGTACAACCACCACTTCTGTTTGGTTCCAAAACATTTTCATCACTCCAAAAGGAAACCCCATACCTGTTAGCAGTTGCTACTTATTGCCCCATTTCCCAGCCTCTGGCAACCACCAATCTGCTTCTGTCTCCTGTGGATTTACCTATTCTGAATAGTTGATATTAATGGAATCAGGCGACCTGTTACCTTTTGTGTCTGACTTAATTCACTTAACATAGTATTTGCAAAGTTGTAGCTTAGGCCTGCGCCACATTGTAGCTTAGGCCCGTGCCACATTGTAGCTTAGGCCTGTGCGCTCGCACGCGCACACACACGCACACACACACACAGTGGCACACTATTCATACTTAAAATGTATTCATACTTAAAAATCTGTTCACACTATTCATAATTTACTTTTTTATCCATTAATTGAAATTTGGAATCTTTTCTTTTCTTTTCTTTTCTTTCTTTCTCTTTCTTTCTTTCTTTCTTTCTTTCTTTCTCTTTCTCTTTCTTTCTTTCTTTTTTGTTTGTTTATTTATTTATTTATTTTGAGATAGAGTCTCTCTTTGTTGCCCAGGCTGGAATGCAGTGGTGTGATCTCGGCTCACTGCAACCTCCACCTGCCAGGTTCAAGCAATTCTCCTGCCTCAGCCTCCCGAGTAGCTGGGATTACAGGCATGAGCCACCACACCCAGCTAATTTTTGTATTTTTAGTAGAGACAGCGTTTCACCATTTTGACCAGGCTGGTCTGGAACTCCTGACCTCAAGTGATCCGCCCACCTCGGCCTCCCAAAGTACTGGGATTACAGGCATGAGCCACCACACGTGGCCAAAATTTGGAATGTTTTCATCTTTTGTTTCTGTAAATAGTGCTGTTTTCAATATGTAGGTACGTGTATTTTTTTAATACCTGTTTTCAGTTTTTTGGAGTATGTGTGTATATGTATTAAATGTATGTCTGTGTGTGTGTGTATATATATATATATTTGTCTTTTTATTATTGAGCTAAGAGCTCTTTATGTATTCTGCATACTAGACCCTTGTCAGATAAGTGATATGCAATTATTTTGACTCATTCTGTAAAATTGTCTTTTTAGTTTCTTAAAAATGTTCTTTGATGGATAAAAGTTTTTTAATTTTAGTAAAGTTCACTTTATCCATTTTTTTCTTTTATTTCTCGTGCTTGTGGTGTCATATCTAAGAATTTGTTGCCAAAACAAAGGTCACGAAAATGTAGTCCTGTCTTTTAAGTGCTTTGTTTTTAGCTCCTAGGTCATTTATTTATCCATTTTGAGTTAATTTTTGAATATGGTGTGAGGCAAGAGTTCATCTTCACTCTTTTTCAAGTATATATCTGGTTATTCTAGCATTATTTGTTGAAGATATTTTTCTTTCCCCATTAAATAACCTTGGAATCCCTGTCAAATATCCATTGACCATAAATGTAAGGGTTTTTTCCTGGGCTTTCACTTTTACCACATTATGTGTTTCTACCCTTTTGCCAGTGCTACATTGTTTTCATTGCTGTGGCTTTGTAGTAACTTTTAAAAATGGAAAGAGTGAGTACTCCTACTCTGTTCTTCTTCAAAATTATTCAGGCTTCTTGCGGTTCCATATGAATTTGAGAATGGGCTTTTCTGTTTCTGCAAAAAAAGACCATTGGCGTGTTGATAGGTATTGCGTGGAATATGTAGATCTCTTTGATATTATTGCCATACTGACTATTAAATTTTCCAGTCTTAAATGAGCATGGGGTGTTTTTTCATTTACTCTGGTCATCATTGATTTCATATTCTATTGTTTTGGGACTTGTCTATTTCCCTGTTCTATCAGTTTTTTATAGTATTTGAAGCTATATTAAGCAATTTATATTTATCATGTCTTCCTGATATATTGACTCATACATAATGTTTTTCTCTGTCTCTAATAGTATTTCTTGAAACCTATTTTATCTGACATTATAGAGTGTCATTCTTTTGAGTAACAGTTAAATGGTATGTCTTTTTCTACCTTACTTGCAACCCCTATATTTAAAGTGTCTTTCATTTATGGTTATTAGTTGGGTTCTGCCTCTTTATACAATGATTTCAGTGTCATTAGACCCTTTAAATTTAATGTATTTTTGACATAGTTAGATTCAGGTATGCCACATTGCTATTTTTTTTATTTGCCCTATCTGTATTTTATTCTACTTTCCTGCATTTTATATTATTTGAACTTTTTAAAAATAATATTGAATACTTTACGAATTTCTGTGTCATCCTTGTGCAGTGTCCATGCTAATCTTCTCTGTATTGTTCCAATTTTATTATATGTGCTGCCGAAGTGAGCATTTCAGTTCACTTTCTTTAGTATTGTCTTTTTAGGTACATCCCCTTGAATTTTCTGAATGTGTTTGTTTTTCTAGGGACTGTGTTATCTACCTTTATCTACCTTTACCTTATCAAAATCTACTTCAAGTTAATATTGAAATTTCAAGTAAAATGTAGCAGCCTTACAACAGTATAATTCCATTCACATTCTCCATCCTATTGCTGTTGTTGCCATATACATTGCATCTCTATATAGTATATACCAAAAATAGTGTTAATCATTTTGCCTTAAAAGAGATATTGGCAGCCGGGCACAGTGGCTCACGCCTGTAATTCCAACACTTTGGGAGGCTGAGGCAGGCAGATCACTTGAGGTCAGGAGTTCGAGACCAGCCTGACCAACATGGTGAAACCCCATCTCTACTAAAAATACAAAAAAAAAATATAGCCGGGCGCAGGTGGCTCAAGCCTGTAATCCCAGCACTTGGGAGCCGAGACGGGGCGGATCACGAGGTCAGGAGATCGAGACCACCCTGGCTAACACAGTGAAACCCGTCTCTACTCAAAAATACAAAAAACTAGCCGGCAAGTGGTGGGCGCCTGTAGTCCCAGCTACTCAGGAGGCTGAGGCAAGGAGAATGGCGTAAACCGCGGGAGGCGGAGCTTGCAGTGAGCGAGATCCGGCCACTGCACTCCAGCCTGGGCAACACAGCCAGACTCCGTCTCAAAAAAAAAAAAAAAAAAAAAATTAGGCCAGGCATGTGGGTAGGCACCTATAATCCCAGCTACCTTGGGAGGCTGAGGCACGAGAATTGCTTGAACCTGGGTGGCAGATGTTGCAATGAGAGGTTGAGATCATGCCACTGCACTTCTGGGCCACAGAGCGAGACTCCATCTCAATTTTAAAAAGAGAGAGATACTGGCCAGGCACAGTGGCTCAAGCCTGTAATCCTAGCACTTTGGGAGGCCAAGATGTGCGGATCACTTGAGGTCAGGAGTTGGAAACCAGCCTGGCCAACATGGTGAAACCCCATCTCTACTAAAAATACCAAAAAAAAAAACATACCCAGGTGTGGTGGCAGGCATCTGTAATCCCAGCTACTCAGGAGACTGAGGCAGGAGAATTGCTTAAACCTGGAAATTGGAGGTTGCAGTAAACTGAGATTGCACCACTTTACTCCAGCCAAATCCAAATCCAGCCAAATAAGAAAGATATCTTCTTTAATTAAAGGAAAATAAACTCAGGAATTAGATTACTTTCTGATACCTCCAGGAACAGTTAAGGGATCCCGTATGTATTGTGTCTATTTTAATGCTTCAAAGACAGGAGATCTACAGTAAACTTGAGAGATTCTTGGCTAAAAACTAACCTAGGAATGTTACACCTGGCTGGTTTTCAGATGAGATGAGCACTCTTTAAGATCGCCACAGATCTGTGTTCTTTTTACAAATAACCCAATCAGAAGAGCAGAGTGTGAGCGAGCCCATGACACTGTCGAAGTTAACTTACCCACGTGCTTCTATAATACCGGATTAGGTGTTTATTCTTCACCCCAAACAAGGTCAGATTAAGAGAACTTCATAACTAATAGTAATAGCTCTGGAAGGAAAAATAAATCAAGATAGTCTTGATGGCATTTTAATTTGCATTAGAAATATGGTCATGCATCATTTAATGATAGAGATACTTTCTGAGAAATGCATCTCTAGTGGGTTTTGTCATTGTGTGAATGTCACAAAGTGTATTTGCACACACCTAGATGGTGTAGCCCTCTACACACCTAGGTTATATGGTATAGCCTACGAGCTACAAACCTATACAACATGTTACTGTACTAAATACTTTAGGCAGTTATATAACAATGATAAGTATTTGTGTATCTAAACATATGTAAACCAAAAAGGTACAGTAAAAATATGATATAAAAGTTTTTTGGTTTTGGTTTTTTTTTGTTTTTTTTTTTGAGATGGAGTCTTGCTCTGCTGCCAGGCTGGAGTTCAGTGGTAAGAACTTAGCTCACCACAACCTCCGCCTCCCTGGTTCAAGTGATTCTATTGCCTCAGCCCCTGAATAGCTGAGACTACAAGGCGCGTGCCACAACGCCCGGCTGACTTTTTGTATGTTTAGGAGAGACGGGGTTTGACTTTGTTGGCCAGGCTGATAAACTCGTAACCTCGTGATCTGCCTGCCTCGGCCTCCAAAAGTGCTGGGATTAACAGGCGTGAGCAACTGCACCCAGCCAAAAGATTTTTTTAAATGGTACACTGATATAGTGCAATTAACCATGTATGCAGCTTGCAGGACTGTAAGTTGTTCTAGGTGAGTCAGTGAGTGGTGAGTGAATGTGATGGCCTGGGACATTTTACTACTGTAGACTTCATAAACACGCTTTACTTAGGCTACACTTAATTTATCTAATACATTTTTCTTTCTTCAATAATAAACTAACCTTAGCTTACAGTAACTTTATAAACGTTTTAATTCTTTTCACTTTTTTATTCTTACGTAATAAAACTTAGCTTAAAACACAAATACATTGTACAGCTATACAGAAATATTTTCTTTATATCCTTATTCTAAAGCTTTTCTTTTATGAATTTTTAAATTTTCTTTCTCTTTAATTTTTTTTAATTAAAAACTAAGATACAGACGTGCATATTAGCCTAGGCCTACTCAGTTCAGGATCATCAGCATCATTGTCTTCCACCTCCACATCTTGTCCCTCTAGAAGGTCTTCAGAGGTGGTAACACATGTGGAGCTGTCATCTCCTATGATAACAATGCCTTCTTCTGAAATACCTCCTGAAAGACCTACCTGAGTCTGTGTGTGTGTGTGTGTGTGTGTGTGTGTGTTTGGTTTGGGTTTTGTTTTGGTTTTTTGTTTTTTGTTTTTTGAGACAGGGTCTCACTTTGTCACCCAGGCTGGAATGCAATGGCACGATCTTGGCTCACTGAAGCCTCAACCTCCCAAATTCAAGCAGTTCTCCCACCTCAGCCCCCCAAGTAGCTGGGACTACAGACACACGCATCACACCTGGCTAATTTTTGTATTTTTTGTAGAGACAGGGTTTCACCATGTTGCCCAGGCTGGGCTCGAACTCCTGAGCTCAAGTGATCCACCCAAAGTGCTAGGATTACAGGTGTGAGCCCCTGCCCCCCGGCCCTGAATCTGTTTTGTAGTTTTTAATAAGTAGCAGGACATTCTATTTAAGACAGGCTCTTGCCACTGTCACTCAGGCTGGAGTGCAGTGGTGCAACCACTGCTCACTTGCAGCTGTGACCTCCTGGGCTCAAGTAATCCCCGACCTCAGCCTCCGAGTATCCAGGACTACAGGCGTGTGCGCCACCACACCTAGCTATTTTTTTAATTTTCAGTAGTGATAGGGTCTCACTGTGTGGCCCAGCCAGATTTCGAACTCCTGGGCTCAAGCGATCCTCCCGCCTCAGCCTCCCAAAGGGCTGGGATTACAGGCGTGAGCCGCCAAACCCGGCCCGGAAGGACTACATTCTAAAATAATAGTTAATATATAAAATATAGTAAATACATAAACCAATAATAGCCATTTATTATCATTACCAAGTCTTACATACTGTCTGCTATACTTTTAAACAACTGCTAGCACAGTAGGACTACAGACATGTGAGTGATGTATTATGCTATGACATCACTGGGTGATAGGAATTTTTCAGCTTCTTTATAATCTTAGGGGGCCGCCATCATATATGCAATCTGTCATTAACCAAAATGTCACTTTGTGATACATGACTGTATGAGAAAAATTAAAGAATGGAACTAGTATAACTGTGCATTAGTGTGGGAATGGATAAAATAGTTTATACAATGAATGTTCTTCAGCAGTTAAATTGAATGAGCTAGCTGTATATGTTTCAATAAAGAAAGATGTCTCAAAAACAATATGAATTGCAAAATAAGTTTCATGAAGTTATATGTAGTTGAGTTTCCCTTATTTGAAAAGCCTGGGACCAGAAGTTTCCGTTGTTTTTTTTTTCTTTGGATTTTGGAATATTTGCATATATGCAATGAGATATCTTGGGATAGGGCCCAAAATCTAAAACCAAGTTCATTTGTTTCATATACATCTTATACACACAGCCTTAAGGTAATATAAGCAATATTTTAAGTAACTTCATGCATGACATAAAGTTTTGACTGTAACCTGTCACATGAGGTCACGTGTGGAGTTTCTTTTTGTGTACTGACATGATATGATGCTTTTGGCATCATGTTGGTACTCAGAAAGTTAAAGATTTTGGAGTATTTCAGATTTTGGACATTTGGATTTTTAAAGTGCTCGGCCGGGTGCAGTGGCTTATGCCTGTAATCCCAGCACTTTGGGAAGCTGAGGTGGGCAGATCACTTGAGGTCAGGAGTTTGAGACCAGCCTGGCCAACATGGTGAAACCCCATCTCTACTGAAAATAGAAAAATTAGCCAGGCATGGTGGTGCACACCTATAATCCCAGCTACTCGGGAGGCTGAGGCAGGAGAATTGTTTGAACCTGGGAGGCGGAAGTTGTGGTGAGCCGTGATCGCAGCACTACACTCCAGCCTGGGCAACAGAACAAGACTCCACCTCCAAAAAAAAAAAAAAAAAAAATAGATATAAATAAAATCCTAATACATATAAGGATCATAGATAAATAGTAAACAGATACCAATAGTAAAATCACCAACTATAGAATAATGGCTTCTACGGAAGTTAAGAGTAAAGGAAATAGGGTGAGTCTTTAGCTAATTAAGTAATGTTTGGTTTGGCAAACAAATTAAAATCTAAATATGATTCGGTGACCCATCCAGTTTACCTCTTCTTAATGCATACTGTATCGTTTGAATTTGTTTAAAAAAATTTCAGTTAACGCATTTCTACGAAAAACGCCAGTTTTCAGATGAATTAGTGCTAAAAAGAATTATTACTTCCCCATTAAACT